AAGTCGACAAGGGTCGCAGCTTGAGTTTTTGTCTCTGAAGGGGGATGCTAAAGATCAAAGGCGGCGCACGTAGGATTGATTAAAGTCGCGCGAGTACGACCGAGTGGCTATTTCCCTGGCGATGAGTACGGTGCGTGTGTTCTCTTCCGGGGGCTTAATCTCTTAGGACGGTCTTGCGGCACGCTTCTTTGTGCATCGTTGACGAGCAGGACGGGGTGGGAGATGCGATTTTTGCAATTTTAATTGTCGAGTGATGAGCTAAGGACAGCGCTCAAAGGCGAAGGAACGACATTACGAAAGGTGTGCGCTTGGCAAAAGAACCACCGGAGCGGCTTGCTCGCATCCCGATTGCGCACGAGCGCGTGCGAGTGAGTCGCGCCGTTCGACGAAAACCAATCGTCGCGTGCAATGCAAAATAACCCTGCGCCATCCCTAATTAAATCGGACGAACGCTGCCTTCTCATGTTTTATTCCACGTCGCGCCGTCATGTGCGCGACTCTAACGAACTCACTACTTGCGGCTGATCGAGAGGGCTGTTAATTGCGGACTATCGCTAAGGCGAATCTTTAACTTCTGAAGAGGGGACACATACGCGGATCTTCTCTGCTCGTCGTGGTTCCGTGTCGTGCGAAACTTTTTTTCTTTTACTTTTGGGTTGCGACCCCGCTGCTGTAACGAAAATACCTCTTTCTTTATTTTTCGGTGACCATTAATTGGCTGGTGTTTGTTGCTGCTGTTCGTGAAAGTTTGCTTTATAACAGGAAGGATCTCTTTTCTTCGTTATTTGTCCAACCTCGATATCTCTTACAATAAGTTTTGATGAAAATTTTGAAGCAGATCGACCCTAGCACCAAAACAATACATTTTTCAAATAAATTAAACGGAATTAGCTTCAACGTAATTTGTTTCATCTGATAATAGCTATCCTGGAATTTGTACCCAGAAAAAAACAAAACCGAGATTTGCGAAAACCTGTACTCCTGGCACAACAATTTTTAATACTCGAATAAAAAACCAAGCCAATAAATTGCTGTTCCCGTAAAAATAAATATCATAAATTTTCCTACGGTAGTAATCACAGAACTGATGGCGTCTTCTACGTATGCCCGGTGCAAAATCCTGGTTCTGGCACGAAAATCTTCGACTATATCGAAGAAAAATAACGACATTGGCTTTCTTTTATTTGTACCATATAATTTTTTGTTTGTACCTCTGTTGAATGTAAAAAACACAAAAATGTTTTAAACAGGGAATTGTGACACTTTGCCAGTATGACGACATGTATTATCAGAGCTGCTGGGAATATAGCATATTGCGAAAAAAAATGAACTAAATCAATGAGAATTCATCAACGGGCTCCAAACCATGCCCTCAATGATTTAGTTCTTTACAACAATTTCCCTCTACCCCCTCGGTTTGACGGTTTTTTACTCTATATCCTACCTTGGCATGGGGATCGCAGCTGATACATTGAGATAGTTGCTCAAAAAATTATATACTACGGACACAAATAAACTAAATCGTTGAAAGTTGTGGTTCCAATTCTGTTGGTGAATTTTCATTGATTTATTTCATTGTCTTCGCAATATGCAATATGCTTTACAGCTAAAGAGTACAAATAAAAAATTATAATATTTTGAATGGTACAAATAAAAGCAAACCAATAGCATTTTTTCTTTCGATATAATCGAATAGGATTTTCTACCGGGCATGTTCAGAAGACGCGATTAGTTCTATCTTTAGGCTACCCTAGAAAAATTTATCTTATTTTATTAGCAAAAGGAAACAAATGAAAGTTTTCATATTGTTAGTTGGTATAAATTCACAGAAATCTATTTGCTTGATTTTTTATTCGAGTTCATGTCGAGTTCATATCTCGGTTTTTTTGCTTTTTTTCTGCTTTCTCGAGGAGTAAAAATTTTAGGATAATTATTTTCAGATGGTACATGTGTTGAAGCTAGTTCCGTTTGCTTTCTTTGAATCATAAACTTCAGACAAGAATCGATTGTATAGAAATTTCTGTTGTGTGTAAATTGTTCAATACAACATTTCGAATGGCAATTCAATTTTGGAAAACCAATCATTCAATAAATAAAACACCCCTTCATTCGATTATCTCGCAATTTCTGACGGTAACTTCACATCTCTCGAATCAAAGGACTTTTACTAAAATAACACATCGTGTTTTGATACTAAAGTACAGATTTGGTCTCTCTTAACGACTTCACGCCAGAAGGACAGAGGGCATGCACACGTACAGATATCCCTACTCCAAAAAGAAAGAAAAAACAGTATTGGAAAGAAAAGGGGGTGGTGTGTTGCTGCTGCTGCTCATGACGAAGAAGAACAAAGTCTCTCTCTCTCTCTCTCTCTCTCTCTCTCTCTCTCTCTCTCTCTCTCTCTCTCTCTCTCTCTCTCTCTCTCTCTCTCTCTCTCTCTCTCTCTCTCTCTCTCTCTCTCTCTGGAAGAAGCTGCGCTCTCGTGGGTCGTGTGGTTTTCTGTAGGCATATCTGATGCAGAAAACCGGTAAAGGCCGAAAGCAAATACACGAAGAGCGGAGAGTCGTTGCATTGTCTTCCGGTGACTTAAAAATTCACTCGTGCCTTGTTAACTGCACGGCCCTATCGGATACTCTCTCTCTCTCCCTCTCTCTCTCTCTCTCTCTCTCGCGAACGCGACGGATAGTGAGAGAGAGAGAGAGAGAGAGAGAGACAGAGGGGGAGAAGGACGAAGAAGAGGAAGATAGGTTCCCGATAGGGATTCTCTCTCCTCTTCGTGCTCGCTCGGTTCTTCTTGTTTTTCCTCCGACCCTCATGCTGCTGTAACTTTTGCTTGTCTGGCGAACGCACGCGCGGCGTTAGGACTTATATCGGCTACTACTGCCGGACCAACTCTCAGAGAAAGTGTGGGAGAGAGAGAGAAAGAGAGAGAGAGAGAGAGAGAGAGAGAGAGAGAGAGAGAGAGAGAGAGAGAAACGGAGAGACGAGTAACGGTACTTTTTTGTTTGAGGTGGTGAGGTGTAATGTGATTGTTTAATGTTTGTTGCGTGAGTTTTTCGAAATGGTAGGTTTATATCGAAGGTTACGTTGAGTTTGATACTTGTCGAGAGATCTCGAGTGAACTAACGAGTTTTGACGTGATTAGCATGTAGCTCTAGCGTATTTGATTCCTCCTTAGCGAAATTACGTTAATCATCTCGTTAAAACTTAATAATAGTGTTGAACCACCGATTATATCCAAACCAAACACTTTGATCAGTTTCGATAATTGACAAAAATGACACAATTTTCATTGTCAAGAAACCTCGCGAAATTAAACTGCCACAAATCTCACAGTTGTCAAGAGATAAGCACAACTGATTATTCGACGCATATACCAAAAAAAAATGAGAAGGGAATCTTCGAAACGGGCGAGACAAGGAATTCTCCGAGAAGGCAAAAGGTGAGCAGAAAATAATGCCACAGCAGATTCACGATCGTCCCTTACCGATTATATATTTGTTTATCCAGAATCAATGGTGAAGGGGGTCGGCTTTCGTGCGAATTTATCATAGCTAGTTTATCTCTGTACGCGTGCGTGTTGTACTATCAGGGGACGATCGCACGAGTGAGGTATACATCGGGCTTTTCATATTTATATTGCGATTTGGTCAGCGAGATAATATGGAAGGATTCTGTTTTCTCAACGGATTGGGTAATGATTATGATATGTTTGGCTTTGTAAAAGAGAATTGTGCTTATGGGGAACGAATAAATATTTGTTGCGGGAGTTTAAATACAAAGTCAAGTGCAGTTGTGCAAATTGAAGTTAAGATTGATAGTCACGTTTCATGCTCGACTTGTGACCTTCGTCTCAACAATAATTTTAAGGTTTCTGTCGACGATTTAAAATAGCTTTCAGGCATATTTAAATTAATCGTGGCGTTCTAGGATCTCTCCTTTTTTTCATACGCTAAAAAAGAGTATATTGATATTCCTGAACATAAACCACGTCGGACGATTCCGCGAACGCATAAAGTATCGAGAGAGAGAGAGAGAGAGTAAACGGGAGACAAAGAGATGAAATAACCTAGTACATAAAACACCTAGCCGCAAAAACCGGTATATCCTGGCGCGGCGCGAGCGCGCGATTTACAGTCTTCTAATAAAACGCGAACGGTTAAATTAACGATGCTCGTCCGCGCGCGCACACGCGATGCGCGGCTCTGGCGCGTGAGTCAACGACTGCGCGACATACTCGATATCGGCCCCTTTTGCGAGTCTTCCGCCGTAGGCGTCGTGGCAGCAGCGACGAGGATGTTTTATTGCTCGGCACTGCCGCCGCTTCGTCGACGACGACGACGACGACGGGCGACGCTGCGGTCTAGTTTTACGCGATGTACGGATGTGCGGAATCTACGGGCGAAGCGAGCTTGTGGAAGTTGCCCGGCGGTTTTAATAATCCGCGATGAAAGGCGTGAAAATTGCGGCTAGCTACGCAGTCGATTCTCGTAACGTGAAAGAGAGATCGGCCTGTCCGTTCCGCACGTCGCTATATTGCCCACGTGTGCAGCAAAGATCCAGTAACTATGAGTTACTTGGAGGTGGTGTGAAGAAAATTGATATTTTGCGCGCTACAAACGTCAGTCGAGCAACAAATCGAAAAGTTGAAAAATTGGCCGAACGTTATTTCGCACGCAGCGTCCGCCCTCGGGCTTTAAAATTGGAAGCGCGATCGCGCGACATTGCGACCGCCGAGGGTTGGGTTGTCCATAATCAAAATCGATGGAATGAAGGAAGTTTGGCAAAAAACCCATTACCACGTCGCCGAGAGATATTTCAGAGCGACTTGGGCACAAAATCGATTCTCAAACTCTCGGCAGGTTATTGCATCGCATCGCGGTTTATCGAGCTTTTAACATTATTTTTTTTTCTCCCCAGGCCACCGTGTGGCGAGAGATTAGACAAGTCGCTCGAATATGCCCCCACTTGGATGACCGTTTTTACGTTTCGTTTTTCAGGTTTGAAAGCTGAATTATTCTACGTGCGCGCTGGCGTGGTGAACGAGTACGCGATGAAGTTCATCGTGCCAGTGCCAGCTCAAGTGCACAAACTACACTTCACGTGGGAGAATCTCGCTGGCAGACCGGTAAGTCAAGCAATTACCTCTCAACAAAAAGAAGTTATGCAAATATCGAACTAAAACTATCAGGTAGCTTTCACGCTCGTAAAATGCTCCTCGTTGTTTGCCTCGAAAGAAAACTCGCGCATATTGATTAAGAAGCTCGCTTTTGAAATTCAAATTTGTCATCGTTAAATTATTTGCTCGCAAGGTGAAATAGCTTTGCTCTCTTTTTCGCCGTGCATACTAAAACGTCGACGCTTGGCAAGCCAAGTAATTTTACATCTATCTTTTATTCAGCGAGCGAACTGTTTATTAAAAATACTTTTTCCAAAGGCAGCAGCTGTCGCGAGGACGCCGACGCTAACATTGATTAGTCAACGACGAGACATAAGAGACATAAAACATTAAAATTCGCGCACGAGGCGATCTCAAGCTAAAACAAATTACAGTGTTATCGACGTTAAGCGTCGCTGCGATGCGATCGCCACCTCGGCACATACTTAAAATGCTAATACCTCGCGCGCAAGCATAAATACTCTAAAATACCCTTATCGCCTTTGCTCTCCACACTCGTCGTCCGATAATAAAAAAAAACGGAGGTAGAATTCGTATCGAAGGAATTGACTCGTCGAGCGAAAAGAACAAAAAGAGGAGAGCGGTCAAGCGACTTCTTTCGCGAAGGGACACAAAGAGAAAAAGAATCGGAAGCTTCGCCAACAAACTGTCTGTCTACGTCGATCAACCAGAACCAACGACAAATTATATTGCGGTTCTTTCTTTCTTCTGTCGACTCTCTGACGATTTATGTGACGGTCCAGTTTTCGCTTTTTTTCCCCCTTTTCGGAGGCACACTTTTTGCACGCACTCCTTTGACCGGTAATTGAGTGCGTTTACGGGAAACAGAGATTCTGCTTGTCGATTTATAAATTCGAGCGAGGGGATTGAGTTGTGAATATACATGGGCTTCGAAAGTCGCGCGTTCATGCCATTAGAATGATGCCGAGACATTTTGAAAATTATTCGCGGGTTATTATCTGTCTTTATAGAAATTTTTTATCTGGTTTGTGTAGCTTATGGAGAAATATTCGCGTTTTATGCTTGATATTCTGTTTCATTTGGACAGTAAATTGATTTGAAACACGGTAAAAATAATTAGATTTGCGATCACGATAAATCCCTATTTCGTTGATGTCAGAAAATTTAATTACGTCAATCCGTTAATTAAATCATTTTCCGATATAGATCGTCTAGCCAAGTTAACGTGATTGGAATAAAAAAGCGTGACAACCAAACGGCAAGTGAATGTTGCGATTCTCATATCAGTTTTAGTGTTACGGTACAACGAAAATTCACGACGCATAAAACTTGATAAAACGTAGAGGTCTGCAGTGAATCAAAGCGTTTCATAAATATTCACAAAGCGTCACTTAAAAAACTTCAGAGGAAACTTAACGAGCTCTTCGCTCTTCAATGTAAACCGAAAAAAATCTCGCGAAAGCTTTAATTTTCTAATTAAGCCTCCTTCGTCAAACGCTGTGTGCCCATCGTCAAAGCAAATTAGTGTGCGCCCGCTGTCGATCCTCATACGAGTAAACATCGAGACTTCTGCACTCTTTGCCTTTACTCGGTATCGATGTCAATTGAATTTCATTTCGCCAGATAGACGAATCCATTGATTGTCGTTTTTCCTGCGAACTCGAATAATTACCATTAATTCTGCTTATTCGTCTCTCGAGTGAATTAATTTGCATGCTTAAATTTTCGTTGTAATAAAGTAATCAATAGCATTAGGAGCTCGCCACTCGTTGAGCATTCAAAACCGAGAGCACAGCTCGTCAAAACATCTTGTCCGAAGGAACCGAAAGCGAGAAAGCGAAAAAAAGAATCGCGTCTTGCCGATAAATCACGTCTTGTTCGCTTTTGGCATGGACTACTGGCAGAGCAGCAGCAGCAGCAGCAGCAGCAGCAGCAGCATCTCGTTCGACAGCTCATTGGGTTCGTTCGTCTCCCCGCCCTCTCGACGCGCAAAACTTTTATTCCCCCTTTTCTTTTTTTCTTTCGTTTTTTCTTCTTCGCCTTCCGCCTTTCTCTCACTCCGAAGCTAAAAGCGCGAAAATCGTCTTCCGGGAAAGGCCGATTATCGCAAGCCTGCAGATTTACGATTAGTGCAGCACGGATTCCTTCTCGACCGAGCCTTTTTCTCTCGTTTTCCAAACCAGAATTGAATTCCCGATAGCTTTTATTCTTTCTCCAAATGAAGCGAAGGGCTTTCGACAAGTGGGATCACAGATACGCGATACACTTTTCTGTGGCTTCGTCAAAAGAAAGCGACCCAACAAAGCGAGGCCAACGGTAAATAATGTCTCCTTTTTTTCAGCTTCCCTACACAGTCTTCGCCGACATAAGCGACCCAGTAGTACTTTCTACGTCGTTCAACATCTCCGACACAGGTGACATCCCAGTAGGTGGAATCCAAACTTGGGCCATGGCAATGCATTGCGGTCCATACGACGCAGAAGTGGATTTGACACTTCATATAAACGTGTCTTTGACGCGGCGTAACGTCACAAGCTTGGAATTCAAGCGCAAGAAAATCTGTCTGAAAGATCAGAGTCATTATCCTGGCCCCGAGGAAGTATCAGTTGCTGCATCCGGCAGCAGCTCCGGCGGACAGATTTTCTATGCGGCCGTCGGCTGTGCTTGCGCTTTTATTGCTGCTATTTGCGTACTCTTGCTAGCCTATTACGTCAGGGATAAGAAGGCGAGGAGGCACCGAGAACCTTTGCAGTGAGTTTCTTTGCTTTCGTAAAACACTTTTGAATCTTACATATCATTAAAAAATTAGCTTATCCTTTACATCGACCTTCCGCGTGGATCGTAACTTCTGCCACAACTTTGACATTCCGTCAACTCATTCGTTAAAACTTTTGCCGCGTAGAGAATCGCGAGGACTAGGCTCGGCATGCAGCGTCGAACGAGGAACCGGCATTGGACCTGCCCAGACTTTCCTGTCGCCGGAAACGCCACCGCCACCATCCGCAGCTTCCGTGTCGACCTATAGACGACTGGACGATAGATCCAATCGGGATCTTTATGAAAGGATTCAAGAGTGCCCCGTGCAGAGGTAAATTGTTCGTTGAAATTTAATAAAAAAAAATCTGCATAGAGTGCGCAAAACAAAGACACGAGAAATCCTCTTAGGCGGCTAACGTCGAACTACAAGTACCTACTTTCGAGAAGCTTCAAAAGTGTTTGACCTATGTAATTGCTTGTGCTAAGCCGATTGGATTTTCGTGAACAATAGAACGATTTTTTTTCTCCACTCGAGCTAAGAGAAATGCCGTCTTAATTAGTAAAATTCAAATCGAGTTTGATGAATAATGTAAAAAAAGTTTTATGCTCAGACTTAAAATTCCTCGTTGCCAGAATATATGTAAGTTAGACCGTGTAATTTGAAGTTTAATTGGTGGTAATAATGCTGGCCAACACATCTGGCTACTCGCCAACATAAGAGATGTTTGTAAAAAAAGAAAAATATTCTTTCTTTAACGAACATAATAAAAACTTCCGTCATACATATTTTACGAAGAAGTCAAGTCATCAAATAAACTTTCGTAAACTTTTTTTTCCTGTACGTATCCACGAAATTGCGTTTGACGAGTTGACACAGTCAAACGACACAATGGATAGAGAGAGAAAACAAATTTTCCTGCCAACGATTTGTAGGCTTCTCTCATTCCCTCCCTCTTCTCTTTTTCATCTCAAAAGCTCGACTCTGAGAAACCGCACATAGTTACGGTGTGTTCAAAGGAAAATTTTTTTTTCCAGTTTTTCCACCGTCTTTCTCGCCGCATTTCGCGGTGAACTCTTTGACGATGTGGAAAAGAACTCGGTAGGCTCGCGAGCGGCACAGAGAAGCATCTCTCTCTCTCTCTCTCTCTCTCTCTCTCTCTCTCTCTCTCTCTCTCTCTCTCTCTCTCTCTCTCTCTCTCTCTCTCTCTCTCTCTCTCTCTAAGGCTTGAATATTCAAGCGCTAGACAAAGTCAAAGCTAATCGAGAAAGAAACTTCCAGCCATGAATTTTGCAAAAGCGCAGAGCCAGATTATGCGTGTGCAGTTTGACTTTGTCAATTAAAAAGTCTTTGAAGTGTGTAGCCTAGCCAAGTTCGAAGAGTTATGGTTCTCTAACAGCAGAAAATTTGAATGTTTACTTTGACGTTTGCAGATGTCGAGTGAGATTGTTGAGTGTTGAGATCGAAGGAACATACGGGCGTGTCTATCGAGGAAGTTATCACGAGGAAGGTGCTTCCAAGCCAAGAGATGTGCTTGTCAAAACTGCCGCTGAACACGCGTCCCAGGCACAGGTAAATTCTCATTTCTATTTACATTTATTTACGAAGGAAAACCGTTTCTTCAACGCTTCGTAATTTTCATTTTTGCAGATGGCTTTGCTTCTTCGCGAAGGATTCTCGCTTCACGGATTGAGCCACCCAGCACTTTTACCCGTCTGCGGCGTGTCGATAGAAGAACGTGGCGCACCATTCTTACTCTATCCACATACTGGCTACAAGAATATGAAGAGGTTCCTATTACGTTGCAAGCTCACCAGCGAAGGACCAACTCGCGCCCTCACCACGCAGGAAGTTGTAGAAATGGCTTTGCAAGTTGCAAAGGGTGTGCAATATCTCCACCGCAAACGTCTCGTTCATCGAGATATTGCTGCGCGAAACTGCGTGTAAGTATATTTTTAGAAGAACTCGTCATCAAGTGAAATATAAGTGGGGTGGAATGCGTAAAGGCTTGTGGCGTTAAATTGAAGAATGAGGGCGTGCTGGAGATTGAACTAACATATATACTCGGGGGGGGGGGGAGTTTTTTGCGCTTTTTATTTTATTTTCTGTTTGAGTCTACGATATTGTCTAAGAATAGTGGTTTGAGGTTTATCTTCATAAACTTGAATTTTCTAAATTGCAGAGTCGACGACGAACTACGAGTGCAAATCACTGATAATGCATTGGCGCGTGATCTATTTCCGCAAGATTATTACTGCCTTGGCGATAACGAGAATCGACCGATTAAGTGGCTAGCGATTGAAAGTCTTCTCAACAAGTCATTTAGCACTGCCTCAGATGTGGTAAGCTTTTCTTCTTCTATCGAATGAAATTACGTCATCTGGATGATAAGCTACCTAACGAGATAAGATTGTCTACAGCAGAGCGAGTGTTATGAATATTTACTTTATCGAAACTCTGTGTTTTGTAAATTGTAATGGTAGATGATAATGCTACTGGAGCATTCATATATTCAATCGAATTTGCTCAGAACTCGTTTTATTGAACGTAATATAAATGATTTATTTATTATTAACATTACACTGTCTATTTTTGGATTAAAGAAGCGTGCATATCCAGGCTACATTTATCAAGGCTTTAACGATACCACATTAATTTGTACAGATATTAAATATTGAATATTGAATTCATGAAGAAAGTGTTTAAAAAATTCATTTCTATTTCAGTGGTCTTTCGGAGTTCTACTTTGGGAGTTAACTACGTTAGCGCAACAACCGTACGTCGAAGTTGATCCATTTGAAATGGCGAATTACTTGAGAGACGGTTATAGGCTAGCTCAACCTGTCAACTGTCCGGACGAACTATTCGCAGTCATGGCTTACTGTTGGGCGATGTCACCCGATGAACGGCCCACCTTTAGCCAATTGATCGTCTGCCTACAGGAGTTTCACACTCAGCTCACCAAATACGTTTAAAAAGCGTGAATTTCTAGCTCTGATCTATTTGACTGTGAATATTGTGTAAACAGGGATTGCAAAGGCGTTCTTTTTTTTGCCACATGAGACTGTCTCAGATTTTTGCAATAGAAAGAAATGATTTTTTTTTTTCAAGTAAAAGAAACGTTTACCCTTTAAAAAAAAGCATTTTTTTCTAATGTACATTGCATTGATTGCGAACTGATTAGAAAGAAGTATATGTTATTTCTAAAATTGTATATAAAATGTATGATTAAGTGTATTTTATTTTCTCTATCTGCTCCCTGTTTGCATATTTATAAGCACACTGAATCTTAATGCGAGTAATTAAAATGTTGTTGAGAGGTAATTTAGATTAAACATAATCAAAATAATCAGCTTAGAAAAATGCAATTTCAAGACTTTTAAAATAAGAATAACATTGTTGCCAAGTGCTTTTGCAAGACATTTTTAGATTGTTTTTTATTATGAAAGTAAAAATCGAGCTTAAAATATTAATAAGAACAAATAAAAAAGTATTAATATAAAGGAATAAATACTAGATTCAGAGATTACTAGTATAACAATGTTATTAAATCTAAGAATCCCAAAAGAATTTTTATTTGTGCGGAAAACTAAAGTTCAATTTATACGATTGTTTTAACATCTCGCTATGACTACGTGTGTTTATTTCTTTAAGATTGTAAATATCTGTACTATGACTTGGTTTTTTAAGTAATTTAAGTACTTTGTATATTTAAGATTTGAGAGTTTTATGTCATTTTATATTTTAATTTTGTTGAATCTTGAGAAATCGATATAACACTTTTTAAAAGTGTTGGATCTCACTTATAAAAAGTATCAGCATTAAGGTTTTCTTTGTTCAGGCTATTGCCTTATGTAAAATTCATGTGTGCCAATTGTTCTTCTTTTGTGTTTTTGTAAATACTTTGAACACAGAATGTGATTTCAATCTTCATAATTTGCCAGAGTGCGTAGACATTCTGTTTATTTTTGAATAAGCAACTACATCACTAATTACCATAAAGATATTAGCGTGTAATATAAAATAATCAATGACCATTTTTTTACTATTATAATGATAAAATTATATGAAAACGATAATTTTAGCTTTTGCACTCTTGTTGGAAATTGTGAAGATTTCTGAAATCACGAACCGTTTACATCATTCTGTAAATAGATAGTAAACTTTAAGATTAAGTACCTTGTACAAAGAGACGAATAAAAAAGCTGCACATTGAGAAGCAAAAATAAAAAAACTCTGCCGTTGAAATTCTGTTTCCGTTCCCGTCACCAAAAGACCGCCCAGTGGATCGCAATAAATCTTTCTCTCGGTACCATACCCTACGAATTTTCTGCAACACGTGTTTCCTCGAAATCGTTCGTCAAAGCCCAGCGACAAAATTAATGGTTTACTCGACGACATCTTGTTTAAAATGAATAACGAGGCGCACGCGAACACCGTCCAATTATACCGCATTACACCAAAAAACCAGATGGATGCTGTATATTTTTTGTTTGTTTTGCGACTTTTGTTGTTATTTATGTACATTTTAACTCGTTCCTTTTTTTGTGCGGACGTGCGAGGACGGAGATTAAGCGACAGTTGTTTACATTATCGGTCGGCGTTTTTTGCGCATTAATCTATTTTCGAATAACGAGGGAGAGAGAGACTTTCAACTTCTATTTAGTTGGAAAGGTTTATTAGTCTTACTTTCAAGCCTGTCACGACTAACTGAACCCTTTCAGATGTATTTTTAAATCTTCCTAACTGCTTATGTAATTAAAGTACATCATGAATTATGACGTTTTTTCTGTTAGCACAACTAAAATGTCGACACGTGTTTGTTACCTCACGTTCAGCTTTTACCTAAGCCATCCAACGTTTGACGCTAATAGCAGTCGTATTTGTGTAAACTTCCCGCAACACTTCATAATTCCATCCAGCAACATCAGAGAATCCCGACAGAAAGGAGGCCTGTACGGGCAGCATCAATATTTGCGACACGAAGTTGCGCCCATCAAACGTTTTGGTGGCAACAATGAAAGAAAAAAGGTGAAAAACTGATAATAAGACATTGGCGTACACACATCACACGCGCTCAAGGAAGAAGGTACAACAAAAAGAGGGAGAGTGTAACACAAGCGGCATCGTCCGTCACGGCCCATTAGCCGCCCAGAAGAATCTTCGCGGCTCTCTTCTCTTGCTTGCACAATGCTGCTACTCGCACAATGAATCCGGGCGCGCAACCTTTTTTTCGCCGACTCACAATACGCCGCCTCGCTTTATAGAAAGGTAAATTCTACCACATTCTCCTCCCGCTTGCAGTACCACGTTCATTCATATTTATAGTGGGCCGTAAAGGCTTTTCAGTGCCCTAGTTGGCGGAGGGCTTTCTTTTTAATATTGAACTCCGTTAGCAAAAGAAAATTTTAATTGCTGTAAATATCTTTTAACAACGATGATCGCGCGCATGCTTGTTGCTTTACTTAGTCGCGAGGGCGAGCGACTTGGAAAGAATAAAATTAACGACGGTAAACGTTATACGGTTGCAGGCGTGAAAGAAGACTTTTGTCACGTATTTGAATGAACAATTTTATTTTTCGTCCTCTTGTTGAGATAAAAAATCAGCGTTATTGGTCAGTTTCTGTGACAATTAAAAATTTATATATAACAATTAAAAAACATATAACAATAGGTTATGTTGAACAAATTTTTCGAAATTATTAAAAACATAATTTTCCATTCACTTGTCATTTTATAATGGTTCTGAACTAAAATGACAATTGAAACTCTTCGATTAATTTGTACAGATACTCTAATATAATCATTAAATCAAGTACAATTTTTACCATAAGAATAAAAAAGAATATTTTCTAAATTATTGAGTTCATGTAAAAAGCATTTTCGGTCAATTTTCTTACTTACTATGATTTAAAATAAAATAGCGCGCAAAAGACATATTGACATTTTCTCAATGGGAACCAAAATCACACAGAAACCCTACGGAACTGTAATGTGTCCGCTGGTAATCCAACAAAGCAGGTGATAATTGCTTAAATCAATTCGCGAAGCAATCAACGCCGCAAGTGCTACTCGCTCAACGAGCAATAAAAGCACTCACGCGAGATCCTTGAAATCCCTTTGGCACGCAGCATACAATCGCGAAAATCCAATTAACCCGTTCTTTGTATTTTCCTGCGTATAATAGCATCACCTATAACGAGCAACTCATGCATGCAGCATACGCAAGTATCCTAGTGTAGACAATAAGATGCTCTCTGCTCGCGTATATTGTGCTCTCGGGAAAAGTCGATGCGCTCTCATTTGCATTTCGTATCCTTGCTGGATTGTTCATTCTCTCTCTCTCTCTTTCTCTCTCTCTCTCCCTCTCTCTCTCCCTCTCTCTCTCTCTCTCTCTCTCGCTCTCGCTCTATGTCAACTGAGCATTTGAGAAACGATTGATTTTTATCTCGACTAACCTATATAGTTATTGTCAAAGAGGATAATTGATGGGTGAGTGATAGTTGTGGACTTCAACATGGGTGGAACAACTGAACTATAAACAATATTGAATGAGCAATCGTTGCTGCAAAGTGATGGAGGGGAAGCATTGAAAAAGGAATTTTAAATATTTATTAGAAAAAGCTAATTCGTCGTTATGAATAAACAGAAATATAAATGCATAATTTGAAAAAGTGTTTCATTTATTAGAATGTGTAATTTTATAATATTTAAAGTCCCTTCGACATATCACATTTGTTTTTACCAAATGACTTTCGCATAAATGCAATGTGTGCACACATTTCCTTTTAATATTTATAGGTTTCTCATTTGAACTTGAATAAACGCACTGGAAAATTCTTGACGTTTTGATACAAAAAATAACAGAATCAACCGATTATTAGCCACATTTTGTGAAGCACATTTAAAAATACAAAAAACAAGCTATGAGCATTAACTTTTGGATACCTGAAGTAATAGAATTGTCCCTTAACGATTAAGAAAAACGCAAATGAGAAATACACTAAAACGAAATGAACTGCGAGAAATTAAATTGCATTTTTTAATGAATTTAAATTCGGTTTAAATTGTGCCTGAATGACTTATCGTTATATATAATCAGTCATCTCGATCATACAAACGCTAGAGTGCGTTTGGCAATCATAACGAATATTCGAAATTATCTTAAAATAGTGATATAACTATTAGAAAAATATTTGAATTTCATTGACAACTATCTTGAAATAGAATTTCGCTTTTCTATAGTTTTTACCAGTTTCCGAGGTTATATAACTATTTTGCCTTTTACTGTGTGCATAGTAATAAACGTTGAATGGGCTCAGCTACTGTATAATTATTTTTTTAATTAAGTATTTATAACTCATAAACTAGAGTTCATCGACCTTATAATATTATGCATTCTTATAGAATGTAAAAAAATTTAGTTCTCTGTAATATTCCAAATGAATCTTCATTATTCCTAAAAGCTAACTTTCACACAATACATAGCAATTAATTATACTGAACTTTAAGCGATTTAACATTTCATAAAACCCAAATGATTGATATAAATGTTGAGAATCTTAGAACTCGATGTAAAAGTAGATATACACTTTGCATGTGAAAAGTAATATCAACACTCATAAAGATGTAACTCTCGATCTGCAAAAGTTACTCAAAAGTATACGCACCCCATAAAATCTTGTACATATGACCCTAAGAGAGTGTCAAGCCCATCGAACTTAACTCTCTCAGTACTTTCGACGACCAAGACAGTACACAACACAATAGACCGACACGCGACGTAGAAAAAAAGCAGAGGAGAGAGTCTTTTAACGAGGCGATCGAGGGTGCATTCAACCGCGCTCGCTGACCCTTCAGCCGTTCTATATAACGCGAACACTTCGCCACACCTTTCAGCGAAGAATTCACTCGAGAGCGCAGCCTGATTGTCACGAGTGCTGTGGGAATATAACGACGCAGATTGATTTAATGGGGAATTCCAAGCTTGACATCTGATTTGCCTATAAGGAAATGCGTTTATGCCGAAATTTATCACAATTAAATTGTCAGCAGGAAATTTAATGAAATCATAAACAGACGCAATCGATAGTCCAACTAATCAAATTAGAGTAACCGACCAATTTTACCCACCAAATAAAATAACAGAAGTCACGGAAATACGACGTCAATGAAAATTCAAACCAATTTAATGAAGCAAATCACGATATCCCGTTGTCTAATGAGTACTGATATAAAATCCCCGGAATCCATATCGAATCGTTGTATTTTTGTTTCGATGCACGGACAAAATGCACGTGAAAAGTATAATATTAGTTGCGTTGATGGTAGTTAGTTTGGCATTGGCTCGAGGAATAACGTCGAGAGCCGACGGAGATCAAGAGGAGGCGGAGGAGGATAACGGCAACAACAACAACGGAGAGACAATAGAATTGGATGGCGAATCGGCAGCGGACCCAGTTATTGAATTGACATCTACGAGCCAACAGGAATGTGAATTAGCTGCGAACGCGCCAACGGATCGTACGTCGGCAAATACAGATCAAGCGAATTCGCCTAGCGGGAGATCGATTTCCGACAAGGTAAATCGATGAATTTTTCGCTTCGTTTGAAACAGAAATAATAAGCAAAATGAAATTCCGTAAATAGAAAATTTTTTCCGGGCTTCTTTTGAGATAGTCTTGTGAATATTTAAATCGCTATTTTTTTCATCATTTTCGGATCAACTTGAAATCTCGACATTTATAGCGACGTAATTTTAAATAATTATAATTCATTTAAACATTCATTACATAATGATTTTCCTGAGGCCCAACACTTCTCGGTAGAATCATCCGTAAGTTGAAAAATTTATGTTTTCACATAAATAACGTAGCAGTTTACTATCATCATAGTACATTATCCTTATTATAAGCTTCATTTTTATACTATATATGAGAGAGTTGTAAAACGGGCACCTTTAAGAAGCGCCGATATTCTTTGTGCGTAACGACAGTTATTCGATTCGCCGGGCTCCAAAGTATTTTTCCGCGTCTGCCAACGAAATTTCGGTTATAACCGGTTAGCCACACACGAAAATCAATTCACACTTTTATCTTCTTCCAGATGGACGGCAGAAAGCGCATAAATATTGGAAGACACGTGAACCTCGACAGACTAAGAAATGGAATAATGCGAGCCGGTTCTCAGCCGGGTGGCAACATTTGGCAAATTGTCGAGAATTTCGACTGGATAAGGCCAATAAGTGAAAATCGCGAAAGACTCGCTTCCATGATTGTCAGTCTGATCGATTTCCTTATACCACCGCAGATGCAATACGTCGATAATACTCTTCGGGTAAATACAATTCATTTTCGTTGCAGGAAAGTATTACGTGACGTGACTGAGATCGTATACATGCAAATTGCCCACGTGATTTATTATAGTAGCTATCTTATGTCACTGGTTCCAAAGATTCCTTTGCGCTTCATTCAAATAATTACAGGCGATAATGGCATTTATTGAGTATTATCAAGATTTATTTAATAAATAAATTTTAACGTATTACAATGTAGGTCTCCGCGGACCGCGTTCTATACAAAATATCAGCATTGTAAGAAAACAACAATTACGAAAAAAAAACACATTTTTTTAACGATGCGTCGATAACTATCCAAGTCATATGTATTAATTTATTGATTTTCAATTTTCTCAGTAGTAATCATATAAACGTAGACAATCATTTGCAACAATGTACATGTGTGCACACTCGCGATCGATTTACCTATTATTATATGACGCACGGGATTTTCCAACAGTTCGACATTGAAAACCCACTTAATACTGATTTTTTTCGTCTGCGTCTTCGCGGCAAAATATTTACGCTTCAGTTAACAAACTGGCGGTGTATCAATTTAAATTATTGCAAATGATCAAATTTTACAAAATGGCCATTTTTGTTAACAGCTAATGGCAATAAAAAACAGAATGGAGGACCTGCTGGCGAAAATCTTTCCGAACTTACACATGTTACAGCACCCAACGGAGCAAACCAGCAAGTATATCCGAGGCGTAGATTAGGAAAGAGTTTAAAGAAACGCCAGTGGCATCATCGTTATTTTAATTCTATGTAATCATCAATGTAAGCGTATAAAAAAAAGAAAACACCACTCGTTTAAAATCGAGTTGTTTTAAAAAATATATCTTATTTAGATGGATTTAAGGATCGTGTATGGTCTTGACGGAGACTTTGCCGTTATCGTTAACACCAACAGTCGCTGATTTATGAGAAACAGTTTTGCCATCAGGACCTGTTGAAGAACTCGAGCTTGAACTGCTGAAGACGCCATAGTTATTGCCTGATGGAGCTGGAACACCTTCGCCGAAACGAGACAAAGTGCCTGTTCTTGCCTTTAGAAAAGAAATTCAAGTAGTTATTTGTTTTGATGTAACAATTTTTATAATTTTGTTGTTTTAATATTTTTATAGCTTGATAGTACAATAATGTTGTTTTCTCATTGCTTGTTGTTGGTATTGATTGAAATATACCATAATATTAAAAAACGTTTAAATTTGAAAAAGTGTTATCAGAACACATTACAAACACAGTTAATAAAATATTTGTAGTTCTAGAATCAGATCAGGATAATAATTCAAGTCAAGATATTGCACTAATTAATTGTTAAAGAGGTAAGTAAAAATCTAAGCAGGTAAACTTGAAAATTGCAGTGATAATTATGTATCAACATTAATTTGAAACTCAAATGCTACTGTGTTCAAACTTAAGAATAACAACATTAAATAACCTTTATACATCATCTCGTAATGAACCAAATAAAAAGCAACGAATATTCATAAAATGATATCATTGAACTGATAATTTACTACGGTAATAAAATATTATGTAGAACGAGTCACGGCAGTTTATTATGTTTTGTATATATCTCGTTAGTTTCTTTGCCATTGACTCAGATATTCATGACAATTTATATCAGCAAGAATAAAAAAATTGATGCAGATGAATATATGGTATTTAATAAATATATCTGAGATCATCAATCAACGATATATAAAAATATATCTTACTGGATTAATAGCTCCTTGTTGGTATCCACCTTGAGGTCCGAGGTTAATGCTAGAGAAGGCACTTGCTGGTCCATTTGGATAGCCAAAGTTACTGTCTACTTGATTGCTTTGATCCCAAATTCTATGAAAAAATAAAATATGTTTATAAATAGAGTAGGAAAAATATTTTATATGTGGTTTTTCATAAATATAATTCTATTTAACTGATGATTCTTCATTCGTTTTGCATAATAGAAACATGAAATTTAAATAGTTTGCAAATGGTGAATATAAAAAAATCAGTGTAAATATAAAAAATCACATAAAATATAGCTATTATTAAATGACACGAGTATTTCTAATTTTAAATGATTAATAAAAACATTATTGGGACCTAAACTCTATTTTTCATGCTGTGACTGTGGTTTAAGCAAAAAAAGAACAATGGTTACCTGTCTTTAGCGCTTTTGTTCGAAAAGGGAAAAGCATAGGCAGAACTTTTTGTGCCACCAACACCAAAGCGAGAATCAAGAGAAGTTGCAGCTGACGCGAAGTTGGGTAAAGAGACCGTATTTACATAAAGTTGGGCATTTGGGTCGACATTTCCGTAATCGTTAGTCATAAAAGCACCGCCACTTGCAAAGGTACCACCGCTTTAAATAGCAAAAGCCACAAATAAACAATAAAATAATAGCCAAAGATCAACTTTTTATTATTTCATATTCTGTTAACGAAAATATATTTTTTTACTAGTATACAAAACCTGCTTGATCATTAAGAAACCTTATTTCATATTTTCTTATTCAATGAATGTTTAATCTTGAAAAACTAACACATTTATAGCTTGAATATTCTTGAATATTGAGGTAGAAAAAAAAATTTTTTTTTATTTTGTAACTGAAAAATTAATGTGATATAAATCATGTGGACTATATATAGACTATAAAAAAATTAACAGCTATTAACAAAATGTAATGCAAGATTAAAAGAAATAATATGAAAATTACTAAATAGATTTAAAAACTGAAAGTATATAATGTCTTGAATAATATTTTATATATGTAAAAAACATTAGATGCGATATTTTACAAGAAATACAATTATAAAAGTAATTTAAACTGTTCAATTCCATCGCCAATTTTTAAAACAAAACTTTGATTATTTGATTTGAAGTCAAGCAACGAAAAATGATTTTCTATACAAAAAATAAAGCACAAAAAGTCAGATTTAAGAGTTTAAAATGCCATCACCATAACAAAATTATACAGAAAGCAAATAAAAAAAAGAAAACTTACGCTTGCTGCTGAGCAGCAATTTGTTGCTGAATTTGTCTTTGGAAAGCTTCTTGTTGAGCCTGAAGTTGAGCAAAGTATTCTTGGAAAATAGCATTAATATCAACACCATTGGCAGCGTATGGCATATAAGTTGGACCAGAGTAGTACGCAGGTGCGAAGGCACCGCTCGAAGCATATCCTGGGCCTGAGTAAGCATAGTTCGGCCCTGGGTACTGCGGCGCACCTGAGGAATGAGAATTCGTATTTTACGTCTGACATTGAGGATGATAGTACGTGCGTTTACTTATAGTTATGTACATGGGCGGTTGTTTCAGATGCTAATGGAGCTTATACGTACATACAGCACGTTCTTATTTTTTCTTTTTTTGCTTGGTATTATTAGTCACGTTTTTACTGGTATTATTTATTTTAATTAATGTTAGATGAGGAAATATTTTTTGTTAGATGAGGATAAATACATAAAACGTTAAATCGTTACAACCAGTCGTGTTAAATTGTTTAATACAAGACAATCCTTAGTCTAATGATTAAAAATTATTGACACATATATTTAGTATTTCTTGAATTTTCACATTCAATGACAGACAATTTTCCCATGCACATCTGTACACACTCATATAACATATTTACAATTCAGTTAAGTTGTCTTTAGATAATAGTGTCTAATTGTTGTTAACTTATTTAATTGTCGTCGTAGCTAGTAAAAATATAATTATAATCAGCATTCATTCGGCCGTAATTTATTAAACCACATTTACCAGGTCACAAACAAACACAAATAATCGTTAGATCACCATAACAAATTTCAAATGGTTAAATACAACTCTGTAGCAGTATGAATTACAAAAGCTGATTTATCCGGTTTTTCCATTCGTTATATCTTTACCTGCTGGTTTACCACCAATGGATCCACTAATATGCGCACCTTCGGGAGCACTAACACGTGTTCCTTCAGGACCATCAACTTCAATGGCAACAGATTCGTCATCACTACCTGGGAAAGATCCTCTGATGCTGATGAAAGACGGTTGTCCACCAGGTGGAATTGTGCCAGAAGCGCTGACAAATGATCCAGAATTGTGAACATTCGGGAATAAACCACCATTTGGTACAACAGCTCCATTATTTCCACTGTGACTATACGAAGTCTGAATTCCATTGGGGCCTCTGTTGCTAATCGGATATGGTACACCATAAGTTTCGTGTTGAACTCCATTAGGTCCACTATGACTGTACGAATTTCGAATTCCATTGGGACCACTGTTGCTAAACGAACTTGATGACTCTTGACCGTTTGGCCCACTGCTACTGTGAGAGGTAGCCGATTGTGAAACTCTACCGCCATTAGCAGAAAATGGGCCAGGTGATCCACTGTCAGAGAACGAGCCACGAGTACCAATTCCAAAGGATGTATGTACTGCACCACCTGGTGAGGTGGATGTACTGACGCTACCACCTTGTCCATCAGCACTTGCGCTAGCACTAGCACTGGCGAAACCACCGGCACTGAAAGCTGGTCCAGACGGTATAGGATAATCATAGCCTGAAGAACCCGTGGGAATATTATACTGGGGATTCAGCGAAGGAGGTGGGATGAAGCTATGGGTCCCGGGTGCGGACTGTGCGAAAGCTGGTGGGTACTGCGGCAGAGGTGGCGACTGGCCGTAATAGCTTGGTGGTATGCATGTAAAAGGCAACGGCGGAAGTAAATTTGTTGATGGTTCGCCTCCTCTATTCAACAATTCTGATATTATAGGCTTCTTTGGATTCTTCATTTGTTTATTCTTTTTTTCGTCGTCTTTCTTATCAATTTTGTCTTCAGCGAGAGGTTTTACAGTGGCATCATTTTCTTCGATATCAGGAACGATCGTCGTTGTCAAATCTTCAGCTAACAATATAGTCGATTGTTCAGTCGTTACTTCTTCTTTATCTTCGGATTGTCTTTTGACGAGGCGTGCCGTGTCCTTGACTACTTCACTCACCGATTTGCCTTTTTTGCGCAGAGAGATAAAAAAGAGAGAAGCATGTGTGAACTGTTAATAGTAGAATACGTGCGACGCTTCTAACGGTCAGTGGTCTTTTATTTATTTTTACGTAATGTGTTATCTTTTTCTCTTAGCGGCTGGCTTTCATGCAAAAGTGTTCGTTCTTTTTTAGCTATTACAGGTATAACTAAATTTATTTTAGCGGTTAGTTGTTATTGTAAGTAACAGTGAGTTTTGTAAGTCAGCGATAAGGATGATTTTGTCTTAGAATTCGAGATGATTTTTATAGCCAACGTTAATGTAATTTTGATGTTTTCTATGTTGAATACCCGGAACCGATATAGTTAAGTAAATATGCATTGTTAATTTTGCCTTGGAAAAACATGAGATTATTATTTTCTTAAACGTCGATTTTAATATCTTTAACCATAATATTACTTTGCAAAAAAGAAAAGGTACAATAAATTTGAAGAATTTGAAAAATCTTAATTATTCGTGATTGTATCAATTCAAAGTTAATTATAGATGTAAAGACTTGGTATTATAACTGTAAGCATTACGGATTATATATCAGAAGATATACTGGATCATACGTCATATTTATTTTTGCGCAATAAAATCAATCTTATATTCACTAAAGAGCCAAATTTATATCCAATCGCAAAATAAGTAAATCCGTTTCTTGTGCATTTTGTAACTATAGACATATAACTGTTTGTCTTTTAGGAATACAAGTGAAAGCTTTTAGGGAAACATTATCATAACGGAAGTCAAGGTGAAATATAATTGAAGAGGTTTACCAAGCGTGATTTTTTTATACTCGGTATACACTCATCGTTACGTGCCGATCGCGCAATCTATATAAATGATCTTTTTTTTCTCTCTAATATGATTCAGACAGCGAACGGTAATTAGACAGTTATTGATTATCCAGAGGTAAACAAATTCACACATTTTATTGTCGACACAAAAGCGATTGTAAATCGTCGATCGGATGTTTGTACATTGCAGGTGTCTCAGTGGGAAAATGAAATGTTTACGTAACAAGCGTTGTCGTTATAGTGTTCATATATCATCATCGGCTATTTATTTCAATTATAATTAAATTATAAAATCAAGAAGTGTGTATAAAATCAGTTACTTTCTACTACATTAAATTAATAAACATCGACTATAGTCCAAATAGCATTTAATGCAGAATTTAAAAACTTGACGTGAAACATATGAAGAAGTAAGAGGTAAGAAAAACCGTAAAACGCGCGCTGAGTCTCGAGAAATCTTAATAATAAGACTTACTGCTGGCAATCTGCGTGCCGACGACAAGCAGTAACGTGATGAACAGATAAGTTGCTTTAGTCATGTCGTTGTTGCTATAGTTTACCACCGTAACAAAAAAAAAACAACTGCAAAAAGAGATTCACTGAAACACTCGCGCTTGGTTTGCGCCTGTAGAGTATTGTATCGGCGCGCCGCTTTGCTACGGAATGACTAACGTTGCCGCGTCTGCCGGTGATCTTATATAGGCGTCTGTGTACACAGGCGCTGCTTGCCGCGTAAAATTAAAAAGAAAACGGGATCTTCTATGTGCTTACCAGTGCGCTGTCCCGGCGAATATTATTCAAGAGATAATAGCATTGGTTTGTTTAGGTTCGATAGAAATTTCGTAATAAGGTTTCCGACGCCTCTTATGCGTATGCTTGATCATGATGGGAAATGTTATTAGACAATGTTACTAACTTTGGGAAATTTCAGTTTTGCTCGTGCGATTTTTAATTTAGAAATGACATTCATAACAGCGTATGTGTCTTCGCTTTATGTTTACTTCTGTCTTTCTATCAAGCTGGAAATTTCGTATAAAAATGAATACAACACACATTTACCCTTCAAGCAGTTATAAATATTCAACTAAAAATAATGCTATTTGACTGAAATTTTTTATAACAGTAGACATGATTTTCGAACAAAATATGCCACAGTTCAACAAAAAACATCATTATAAAACTGTAAGTGTAAAACATAAGGAAAGTTGTTATAATAACTTTTTCATTTCCATATATTTGAAATATCAAGTTTCTTAAACATCGTCATTTTTTGACTTCTATCAAGATATTTTAAGAACGCTCAGTTATTTTATTAAATTGTAGCTTGTAATTATAAATGAATTAAAATGTTCCTATGTATCAAATATCTATAAAATATGTATAATATTTCTATAGGACGAAGTTGAATAGTAACTAAAATACGGTATGTACATTGTATTTTTGAAAATTGTAGATGTTGAAAGTTAAATAACTAATTGTATTTCCTACATGTATTCTATATTTTCATAGTATATTCCACAAGCAACTAACTTCGATGATTCCTCCATGAATTTAAAAATATATTCTGAATTGGTTATTATGCACTAAAATACAAAAACAAAATTATAATTATATATTAATGGACAAGTTCAACCAACGAGAAAGCTTGTTTCTGTAGTTTCTGAATCTTTGAATCAAGTTTTATATTCCTAATTCGTGTAAATCTTTCAATGTGTTATTTTTAGGTACTAAAACGATTTAAAAATAACATAAAACTCTTTTCTCATGTTACGTGGCAGGAGAGGATTTTCTACGTAATAAGCAAAGATCGTAACATAAAGCAGGTTCATTGTTGCGTCAAAGATGGACATTGTACAGATCTATGGTAATATAGGATTTGTACTAGATAACTCGAATGTCAATAATACGCAATACTATTTAACTAACACTATTGAAGCCTACACCTGCTGATACATGTATTTGTTGGAATTGGATAATTTCTTTTCAATTTTATTTGATTACCTGACAGTATTGTTACGTTTTGATCATAACAAAGCAAACAGTATGGTACGTGGTCTGATATGATGTACAAAGGATATCAAAAGATGAATATTAACTTGTGCAAATTTGAATTAGATTATTAGCTACACACTTTCCGCTTAAAATCTAAAGGAATGAAGAAATGGTTTTTACTATTTCCTTCATCGGGATTCGTTTCCCTGTGTCCAAGCCTACAAATAAAATATTTACCAATCACGAATTTTTCTCATATCAAGAATTTTTCTCATATTAAGAATCAGAAGTATGTATAACATGAAGTATGTATCTCCTATCGATTCATCTAATTCCAAAATGTTGTTTACTCACTAGGACTCCTACCAAAATCATTGTCAGGATCACAAATGTCAGAATATGCCCATTTCATATTCATATTTGCAACGCCATTCATTCACTGACTTGCGTTAGGTCATCACCTCGAGTACGTAGATTGGAGGAATAGATATCACATGAAGAAGCTGTGAGTTGTAGGAAGTTGAGGAAACGTCGTCATAAGTTTGTACAAGTTGTTCGCCACGGTAATGTAACAAAAGATTGCCGTGTAATATGTTGACTTGTCTCCGAAATAAAATATTTTCAGAGAAGTGAATTTTCACTGGTTTCTGATTTTTGCAAGATTGGTTCATTTTTTCCAATCAAATGTTATCAGAAAATTAGTCATTTCTTTTACAGTTAAATTTGACATATTTAAATAAAGGCTACGATATTAGTAATATCGAAGCGATTTTAAAAAATGGTTTTACTAATAAGTGGTAAAAATCTTAATATATTTTCCGTTCATCTGTAGAGAAATTATTTTGAATTGTAAGTATCAAGGAGATACATACTTGAATTTTCTCAATTAAGTAATTAACAACAACAGCTCTAGTAAGAAACGGTCAAGAACAAAAGCATTATGACTCACCTTGAGTACATTGTCTTTAAACTGATTTCATGGCAAAATATTAATTAAAACTGAATACGTATGAAACACAAAAGAGAGAAACAAGGAAGGAAAAATTTATAAGACAATGAAATGTTCGTCTTTTAGCATAGCTACAAAAAGTAAATATGAGATGTGTATCAATCAAAAGTGGATTTTTGAATAATTAAAAAATATACTAGAATTCAGCTTAAATGATTATTTTGTTGTTTTATTTTATCTACTTCTTTAATTTTCCAAGATTTCTTTGAAAACAAAATTTTTAAGCTTATGTAACATTGATTAATTATAACCAATTTATTATATTACACGCAGTTTGTCGAATAAAATGTACAGCCACTAAAATATAAATAAAAGGAAATTATTTGTGAAAACAGGTTAATCAACCAACGACGTGGGATTGTGAAAATTGATTCTTTAGAGGTAAAACTACAAAGATAGATAACAAGTTAATAGAGCACGTTTTTTCCATGTACGTAAGTTGTCTGAAGACGGATAAACATCGCGGAGCAGACATTGCTAATAATAAGTTACAAGTGAATACAATGAATGCCAGGTCAAAATTGCTGACGTCAAATGTAATCGATGAATGATCGTCGAAATGTAAGCAATGATCGCATATTTGTACGCCAAAAAGCGTAAACCGATTTGCTACCCTATTGTCAATTGTCATTCGTTTCCGGACATCTTTTTCTTTTTACGTGTTCTAACTGTATTGATTTTCTAATATTCGTCACATTTTGCTCGTTGGAAAATTCCAAAAGTTACATGTAACCGAGATAAATACTTGCCACAACTGTAACTAACACGATAAAATCATGCTTTTCCGTAAATAAATTTCTCGTGAACTTGAAACTCATTTAAGAACCGAGACTTTGAAAAAAATTGTATACGATTTCTTTGCAAGATTCTATTCAAAGATAACTTATTTATAGAGATTACTTAATGAAAAGCCTTCGCGTTGATTCGAAAGGCTGTTCGCTGACTTGTAGATCTTCAAAAATAATTTTTGCTCATCTTTCGTGATTATTCGTTTGCGGAATAATTCCAGGAAAGATTTCAAAATTGCTCCTACATGATTATTAGAATGAAATTTTTTTTTCTTAATCCCGCTTCAAATTTTCGTAGTGGTATTCATGGTTAATATCTGTTATAAATGTCGTTTATTATTTTGCAAGAAAAAGCTCGTACCGAATTTAAAAATTGTTTACAAAAAAATAATTGGATCGCTATTTTCATAGCCGCTGATGACTTCATACATCCGGTATATGCGAACGCAACACACGTGAGATGTATCGACAATGATTTGATAGAATTTCAAGTGTGCACATCACTAACCAAGTCCAGATCGATGTAACAACAAAAAGATGGCATAAAGTTCATCTGAACCGAGAGAACGTGGAAGAAAAAAAAAAAAATAACTCGCGATGAAAAGAAACGTGACTCCATAAATTGGCGCGAACACGCTCTTGAACTGACTTTGATTTTGAACAATGGAAACTAGCCAGAGAACTCGAGAACGCAGAGAGCCCATACATCAGGGATTTCCATCTTTTCGCGTCATCGATCATCCCACAGAGTTTTTCTATGCTGCGCAATCTGACCCTGACAATGAGACTCTTCTCTTTTGCTTCTTCTTCGAATGATACATCAGCTTATCAACAACGGAGAATCTCTCTCGAGGGCCTGCGGCTTATAAGCGGAAAAAGGTTAAATCCAGCGATGCTCGTGGGTATTCCCGTGAGCAACGAGCTGTGGATGTCTGCAAGTCTTGCGCGAGTTCGTTGATCCTCCAACGAATTTCGACTCTATTGTTATTCCGCTGATGTGTTTTGCTGCTGAGGACGATTGCGATCAATGACGATTGAAAAAAAAGTTTCTCTTTAGAAGAAAAATTTCAAGGAACAATTCGTTAATGACTTTCAGTACAAATATACTGTAGTATTGGCACTGAAAAGATGTTTTCTCACGAAAGGCGCACAAAAATTGTTACGTTGAGAGACGCGCAAGAAGAAAATGTAAATTAGCCGAACCCACTGACTAAGAGGGTCAGTGCTCCGCGCATGAATCACCAAGCACATAAAGTCTTTTTTTTTTTAATCACGTATATAATAGTTTTTTAACGCTTATTTTTTGTATCTAGATCTCGCGTGTACCGTTGCGCTAATCATTATCTTGTTATTGTATGTCAGTTTTTTTAGTATAGCCAACACTTTTTATATGTAATTTAGATTTACGATGTTACATTTTTTTCCGTCTAACTAATTATTACTAGAAAAATCTCGATGTCGTAATAACAAGTAAATCAGGAAAGATTATAGATCAATATTGACTTAAAGGGTTAAGCTTTTATATCTAAAATATGTAACTTTTTTCACAGAAGTATTTTAGTCAACAATTAGATAATATAGTTAATTAATAAATAGTCTTTCCAATTATTAAAAAAATTATATTATGTAGCTAATACTACTTCTGCAAATAAAAAATTAATATTAGTAAAATTTTTTATTTATAATTGTTTCCCGTTGAAAACCAATAGAAAATATTGCAAATTTGTATTTGTTGTACTTTTAAAAGAATAATTATGCAAAATAATAAGTGGAATTTAGATTCGTCTCAATAATCAAGATTGATTATATAGTTTTATTTAGAAATCTCGTTCTACATATTAAGAATGTCACATTTTACGAAACCTCATCGAATGTGTGTAAAAAGAGGAAAAAGTTAAGTTTTTCGAAAGAAGGTAATTCTGAACATAAGAAAAAGTCACCAAGCGCAATAATACTTCTCAAAGTATTTCACTGTATACTGTAATATTTATTTCGAGCGTAAATTTTTTTCTATAGCATGAGTACAATACTGTGACAAAATTGTCTTTCATAGAAATTATCGTTGTCGTGGAACAAGCTTACTCGCGCAGGTATACATATAGACCTCATGTGGAGTTTCTCCTCCGTTGCATGTATTTTTGTAAGAAGCCTTTGTATACATAAGCTTCTTTCTTGCTCCCTCGCATCGTCGAAAAACATTGTCAAATATTACTTTGAACCTGGGTAGGAACCTGGAAATTGGTATAGGTCACAAATATCGACTGGAAAATTACGTGAAAGATGTGAGGATGTCTAAAAATATTTCTTGAAAAAATCTAACTAGTCAAAGCTTGATTAGTTATCCATTTAAAATCGATTAAAAGTCAATACATTTTAATAATGGTGTTATATTTTTCCATTCGTTTTTTAATTTTTCCTACTGCTATCAATAAACAAGAGGTACTATATCGAAGATTAAGCAAATAGTATTAATAAAAACTTCTGTCTATTCGTTGATTAAAATTATGAATCTCTATTATTTCAAATAAGAATTTCATCAATATAACCATAGTGCCATCTATGAAATAGCCTTATCATTTATATTTGGATTGACTTTTATCAAAACTGTAATATGCTCGATGAGCTTATTACGAACAATACGAATTCGTATTTTAAATCAAAACGGTTTTTTAACAACGTAATATGGATATTAGACTACCTCTAAAAATAGAGTGATTACTTTTCGCTGTGATGAAGTTAAATTGTTATAAACTATTAAAACGGCGTCATGGACTAAAAAACTCATTCTTGCATCAGCGAAAAAAAAGACACCCATTGAGTGTAACCCTATTACCATGAAAGTTTGACGTTCGCACTTTATCCCCACTGAGACGGTTCCTGGAAGCGATCCAGCACCTTTTGAAATTATCGGTCTTTTCAAGGAGAGGCACAGCAATCTCATAAGTGGATTGCAGATCATTTGCAATTTCGCTAAAAAAGCTACAAGGCAAGTAATTACCGATTCAAACGTCTTCTTTTTGGTTTTTAAAATAGATATCGATTACTCGAATTTGGAAACGCATTCTTTGCGTCACTTAATATTGGGTACTCATTTAAGTATCACGAAAAGTATCATGAGAAAAGGTCTTAAAAGACAAAAAAGCTATGCAAACAATTCACGTTCGACCCATCCATATTATTGACTATTTGTTCTATCAAAACAAAATGACAACTTGAATAAACCAGAAGGTATCGACCTAGGACACGTAGCTAACACTGCTCCTGAAGAATCTCATTTAATAAAAGAACACCTATAATTATTTCTGTTCTAATTGCAAGGTTTGTTTAAAATTCAAAATTTTTAATAAAATTAATTCCTTATTAAGATATTATAATTTATTGAGTAACACCATTAGTTATGTTTTTGTAATTTCACCCGTATTATTGCAGAAAAATATTTGTGATAAATAATAGTTTTCTGAATATTTATGAAGAATTTGCTGACACGTCGGTATGAATAATTTTAATTGTTTTCCGTTGAAATACGATAAAATCTTTTTCATACAAATGGAATCGAAAGTAGGTTTATCATCATTAGTATTTTTCACGCATATTAACAAGTCATTTACTTCACCAACACATCAGTGAATGTCAGGAACTTGATTTTTCCATCTGGCGTTCGTACATGAGAACAAAATGTTCACAAGTAATGTTTCGGTGCCATTAAAGCACACTAATGATTCTAATGCAACGTATGGCTTTCTCACGGGATAACGTTTTTATTTCCAATAAGAAATTCATTAAGTGACTGTAACCTTGACTTACAAGAAATGTATCTACACAATTTAAACATTTTATTGAAATAAAAAATTCGTCGAGTCGACCAATAAGTGAGTAGAAGATTTGCGCGTATTAAAATGCAAATTACCTTGATTACCATCAAAATCGTCTATTCATTCAAGGATTATGCCTAAAAGTAAAAAATGGCAAGTGCCGGGTCTGCTTCTTCCCTTGATCGACATCAATGTATCCGATTACAACGAAGAAAAGAACAATGACGCGCTCGGTTATTCCGAATAATCGCTACGCAAGTGACCTTAGCCCAGTCTCAACTGGGAATTCCTCAAGGATTTTTATCCTATCGTATATCCTTGCCGCGAGTGTATCTCTTTAATTTTTTCTAATGGTTATGGCACGCGTATCGGAGTTGAATGGGAGTAATGGGAGGGAAACTGTGATTGTGTTAACGACTTATGAGACGGATCAATGGAAAGCAAGACCGAGTGAAAAAAATGACGAATTGTAGCTCCGCCCTGGCGCGAGGCGGCGGCGAGTGGTGTTACGAAGTAGGACGTCGCACGCATGTTAATTAAGAATCTAAGGTCAATCTTACTCTTTAAAAAAGGGATCTCAATCGCTAGACATCGTCAGTCGCCGATTAACAAGCCGATGATGCTACGCTTCGCGCTTCTGCTGCTGTTTGCTCTCTGTCTCGTCGTTAGAAGCGGTGAGTGTAGCCGCACTGTGTATTGTGTATGTGTGTGTGCTTTCGTGCTGTGACGTATCTTTCTTTTTGCTGCTTTGCGGATAAGTGAATCGAAAAACTGCAGAGTGCTTACATTTATTTACCAGTTCATCGCACAAAAACGTTTATGTTTAATAATTACATCTACGGAGAGTGAAAGTGACGAATTGCATTATCACTTAGGTAATAGGAATGTTATGACTGTCAGGCTATGACATTTTAATTTTAATTTATAAGCGGCGAGACATGACATTTGAATAATTCAATGAGATTCTATGTTTTAAATTTTTTTGAAGTATTTTTTGAATGCAATATTTTAATAATAATAGCAAAAAAATTGAATATACGCTATCTCAAAGTAATAATAATAACTATTCTATTTATATTATTAAACAAATATGATGAGTGGTCAACATCCAGCATCGTATTGATTATGATGCATAAAAAAGCGTGAAATTCACAATTTTATTACATTTTGAAATATGTTACGTAGTATTATGATTTGTATTATACATCTACAAGTAGGAGATTTACATTTCAGCAGTAAATTAAATTTATTTATAATTGATATAAGTAATAAGAATCGAAATACGGAGTTAATAAATCATTTTAAGAAAAAAAAGGTTATAAATAATTTGATAAAAATAAATAATTTTAATTTCTATCTCTCATATTTCAATTAATACTATCGTTTTTAAATTTGATTGAAAAAGAGAACGAATAATTAGAGTAAAGTATCGCAAAACATTTTTAATTTACTCTGCAGTGCTTACAATAACATAGTGAGTGTGTGTGTGTGTACGCCGCTTCATAAATTTTTAACAATCAATGTCGATTAACACTGATTATCTACTTTTTTCTTATCAAAATCTAAGATACTTATGATTTACTGGTTCCTACAAAATTTTGATATTCAAAAGCAATCCTAAAGCATGCTCAAAGCAATTCATTTAAACAAATTTATTTGCATTATGCAACAGACGAGCGTTTAACATCAAAAACAAATGCATTACGAAATACGCCGCCAGAACTAATTAGTGCTGATAAGGTCCAAGTGGCAGCCGACAGTCAAGTCCAAGCGAGATTTTTACCATTTGCGGCAAGTTTCTCTCTGAACCCGGGTGGTGAGCATTCACAAACATTCAGCATTGCCGGAAGTCCGGAAGGTATTGGTTTATCGCAGAGTTCCAGTCAAGGTTCTGGGTAAATACAAATAAATATTTTGAATCAATATGAAAGATTTCTGTACCCTTGAATATTAACCTGCAGCTCATTTTCGGCGAGTCAATCGTCATCGATAGCAGCCGGTCTCAACGGCCTATCAGCTTCAGACTCAAGTGCCTTTAATCACAATCATCCACTTCACGGGCCACAATCTCAAGCAACAGGTAACTCTTTTGCTGTTGGTCAAGCTGGAGCTTCGTCGCACGGAGATGTGATAAACGGCCAAGCAGTATCTAGTGCCCAATCGTCCGTCGGTGGAGTTCATACTCAAGCTTCGTCCGGAGCTTCCTCGGGTACCTCGCAAAATCTTGTTCATTCAAGACCCGATCGTCCTAATTGGAATAACGTACGACCGAGCTATTCTAATGGATATAACGTACCAAGCTATGGAAATGGATACGATGTACCACCGAATTATGCGAGTGGATACAAAGGTAAGCGAGGACAACAAATTTTCAGAAACTGATTCAATGGTCATTTATGGTTTTTTTTAAAAAATTAGGTGATTACTATCACAACTCGTACCGTAATTCCGCGCGACCTTCCTTGACGATAAGCGTCAGTGATGATATGCATCATTACAATCCTCGAGCGTCGAACGGCTGGTACGAAACAAGAGACTCTTGGGATCAATCAGATTACTGCAAATACTACAATGGTTGGTACAGGGATCCACGTTGCCGAAGCCCACGAGTTACAATCACGAAACCAGGTGGTTACTACAGGCCTACTTATAACAATCGGGTTCCATACTATGAGAACATAAAGAATCCGCGTCAATCAAATCTTCATGTTTCGAATGTACATGCTGAATCGTCAGCTCAATCTAATCCTGGCAGCATTGCCATTGGGAACTCAATGTCTGAAGTGGGTTGTGGGTAAATATCGTTTATTTTTTATAAAAAATTTGTAGGAATAATAATTTAATACAACTGTATTTTTCAGTAAAAAATAACTCTTTTTCTATGCTTCAATAAAATTTTTGTTTTTTCGTAAATACTAAAAACTACGCTTATGTCAATATTTAATATTTTTTCCGACTTTACAGTCATCTTGGTCTAACATCTTCTACGACCAATCATGTAGAATCGTCTGGAAACGCCAATGCCCACGCACAAGGAGCTTCAGGATCAATGAACTATCATCCTAATAATCTACAAGCTAGTTTGAGTTCAGGTTCAATTACAACAAATTCACGTCCGGGTGGTTTTTCCCAAGGAACTAGTCACAGTTCATCTACAGGAGGCAGCTCAACTAGTAATCTACATGGTTTCAGTTCAGGTGGTGCTTCGACACACGGCAGTGCTATGTCTGGCTCTATTTTATTTCCTGGACCTAGTAGTCAAGTACACATGATACCACAAAAATTTATCAGAAGTAGTAAAAAGGGTAAACATGTAAATCCTTTCGATGAATTGGCCGAGGATTTGACGGATACCGTATACGATATTTTTGATTATTAGCTGACTTTACATCAATTGTAAACTTCCTCGATAAACTTTCTGCGTTTTATCTTTTGATTGCATGATAGTGAATGTTCATTGTGTCGAGAATTCGTTAATTTAAATTTAAGCAATAATAATTATATTACAATTTAGAGCCAATAATGTATTTTTAATATAAAAATAATACGACTGTAAATAAAACATTTGTATATTTGCAAAATATAACTTATACTATATAATAGATTACGATAATCATAAATATACTTCATTGAATAAAAAAAACTTTTTTTTTATATATAATAATATACTTTATAATATACTTTATATTATTTGCCAACATTTTTTTTTCAAAAAGGATATCTTAATTAAAAATAAGTTTTTTTATATATTAAAAGAAGTTTCGTACGTATATTATCTATTGAGTTTTAAAGTCAATATTCATCCAATAATTTTTATGTACGCTGTACGCTATAGAAAAGTTCTCAAACTAATAGGATTTGTTCTGAAAGAAAGTGTACAGCTAATTTGAACAGATGATTTTTTAACTACAAGGCTATAAAAATGTATTCAAACAAGTAGATCTAACACGTCTGATATGTCTAGAAAAGAAACCCAGAAAAGCGAAATGTTCTTAAATGTCCTGCATACTTTAAATAAGAACATTTTTGTATCATATATTTAGAAAACGCCTTAATTTATTAAATTAGATGGTATTGTATATTAATATAATAATATTTTTAAAATCACTCCTTTAAATTTTGAAATCTGTGTATGTTTCTCATTATTAAGTATTAATTTTTATCATAAAAACAATCATATTTGCGCTTTCTCAGAAAAATTATGTGTTTTATAAAACTTGTATAATTATTATATGTAAATATGGAAAAATTTTAAAAGGCCGTGAAAGCTATACATGAGCAATAAACTACTACTACTACTACTACTACTATATGTATTTTAAAATAAATTATAATGTATCGTCTTGAAAATCTACAAATAAAGAAAAGTTATTTTTAGAAAAGAGATTTCTAAATTAAAATATTAATTTCAACATTGAATTGAATTAAATAGTATTTTTAATGGCTTAGAATTTTAACATTAAAATCTTCGACTTTAAAGCGACATCTTTATAATTTTGCCAAGACACAAGACCAAACGTATTATCTAGAGTGAACTCCAAAAATAAACAGAAATCTTTAGTACCGACGAGCGAGCATTTGTGGTTGCTTGGGGTAATATCAACGATTTCTCACACTATATAGCTTCTTTCAAAAAATCGTAAAGTGATCATACATACTAAGTTACCTTACGTAAGTTCAAAAATTCACGTCGGCATCAGCGGAATCTAAAATAGAATTCGCTGAAGGCTAGATGTTATCAACAATTAAGATTCTGCGAGAATTTTATAGCATTGACCAAGGCGTGAAATGCATTGTGAAGGCCGTAACACATTAATTGTTCGGTTGCAACGAAGGTCTTATTATTTGGCATTGTGTGTCAATCAGTTTTAAAACTGGAAGATTAATTTATATTTTTATGCATTTTTATAATTTTTCATAACGGAACTTTCTACTCAATTAAAACAATTCACTTGTAAAAACGGTCAAAAAAACCTTTGCGATTCTACTAAAAATACAGCTATCAACTGTCTTATCAAATTCATTCAACGTAGTCGAATTTCAACCGAGGGTTGTAATTAAAAAAAATAAAAACTCATAGAATAGCTGATGAGATCTGAAAATGAAAAAAATTATAGTATGATTATAAATGAAAATATTGATAATGTGTAGGAAAATATTATGAATCCGCAATTTGCGCATCAAATGTTCGTCATTCAAATGAATGCCTAGATTTCAAAAAGGAAAATCGAGAAAAATGAGAAAACATGACGACTGACTATAAAAATAAACCATTTCCATTTTACATCAACGTAATACATGTAAAGACAACTCGCGCAAAGGTCGAAGTTATATGAATATTTTATCATCGCTAATCGCCAGGCATCATTTAATCGCCACTAACAGCGCGAAAACTGTTAAGTGAGTCATGACCGTGGGGAATTCCTAAATACTAAATTTGATATGGAATGCTAGTACAATCATATATATGAAAAGACGATTAGAAAGTGCGCGTAAAAACACACGTGTGGCATATTTTCTAATGAACATTAGCGGGCAATTCATCAATTCGCTTACACTCTTACACTGCAGTCAACAATAATTTTTCAGATAAATGAAATCTTGAGTAACCTAGATTTCAACTGAACGTACGATTAAACTGATGTTTGTTTCAATAATTTTTCTTCTCGATTTTTTAAGTACGTGATACATTGAACTTTGAAAATAATAATTAACATTCCATCATATCGTCATAACGTTACGTGTACATCGCGCAAAAGATAATACTATACTTATTTTCTAAGAAAAATGAAAACTTATAGTATGAATAATTAATTGATATGGGCGATCATACGACACTATGTTAACTGTTCCATTTTTTTTAACACTAAGATGATTACTACTAGTTATCATTTAACACAAGATTTTTATGTATATGCAAAATGTTGCGCTGATCCGAAATCAAAGTTGATATTACGTAGTTATTCTGTAGTTGGTATTTATTACCAGTATTATCTTGGAAGGATGAGAAAGAAAATATCAAATTTATTGCATATCGAGTGTAATTGGCTGAAAAAATTATGTTATATTATCATTTCCCGGAATGAATATTAAGCTCTCAAGTTATCAATAAATTCGTATTATTTTTTTAAAAGATTTACCAAGAAATTATTTTTCATATGATGTCATGATAAGCTACTTACATTTAGTAATTCTCATCCCAATTATGTTCGACAATCGCTATGAAGTATCTCACTTTGCGCCTTTGATGTGATCATCAATGTGCGTTACAAGCAAATCCTTCGATTCCATTGACGAAGGCTATGCCGAATTAAGATTCCGCTAACGTCAACAGGAAGATCGTTGAAGAGAGAGGAGAGAAGACGGAGTGTAATGAGTAATGCCGTTTGTTCGAGCACTGCAATTGCAGTTTTAATTTTTCCAGAACAGTGATCTCCGAATTTTTTCCTACAGATCTTTTGAGAAACTATTTTGAGATTCTTGTTAAAGAGGGATTCCCGCGTATTATCGATCAAGTTTCTCGACGATAGATTATTGAATTATCGAAAGAAGGCAATAGGTACGTCCGCATTGATTTTTGTTTTCGATCTATGACGCTCTTTGAAAATATCGTCAATTGCAGCATGCAGCCAACAATGCTACGCGCAATAATGGCTCGATAAGATTGGCAGAGCATCTCCTCCTCCCATGAAGAAAACAGTCGGAGTCACTCCACGCCTTTCTGTATACAACCGTTAAATTTTATTAGGCAGCTTTTTCATTTTGCGCCTCATCACCCGAGCGAGCAAGAGAGAAAGGGTCAAAAAAAAGCTTGGCGCGCAAGCGGCACGATCATTACCCCGATGAGCGAAGAATCCAAGAGATCACGCAGAAGAAAGAAACAGACTTCGAGCTCTTTCTTTACTTCTCTCGCGCACGCATCACATGCGCGTCTGCCTCGGACCGGTAGATTTTGTTGCGCCTTTGACCGGACCTGTGAAATTATATACTTTCGCTGGTGCATTTTCGTGAACGAAATCGCATGCTGCTTGGTATCAGGGAGACAGGGTTCAACGACTCTTTGAAGAATGTTGCTTCTTTCCCACCGACGATCAAATTTGGGCTTACGAAGCCGGCGATTTGAGAACGGTGTACATGGTTCATAGCATTATCGTTTCTTAAATTCTTTCTCTTGTCGGCATAATCTTTTCTTTTGTTACGGAATGAATAATTATTCAAGTATGGAAAAAATTATTTCAAATTAAAAATATTGTATTCCACACTTATGTAACATTAATTTTAATAAAGTAAGCTAAGTCAACTTTTTCACCCCATTTTATATTTATGAATTACGAACAACGCCACTTAGAAAAATTTGTATTCCCCCTTCCGCATAGATGACAATACATTATATGGGATCTATATTTGCAGTTCGTCGAAACGAGGATACCAATCGTCATTTTTTTCTGCGTTGCTGGAATCTGTGCTTTTTTGGACTCCTGCGCTCGGATACTAATTACTTAGAAGAGAGTATATGAAAAATTAACTGCTATTTACGGAATGTCCCGGAAGTGACAGATGATTTTTATCATCAAGGGGATTCAATAACTTTATAACTTGAGACTTTATACTATTTTGGCCCCGACTTATCCTACGCTTCTTGAAGGGATGATATCGTCAATAACCCTTCTGAGGGTTATTAGGTCATTATAATGTTTATTATAATGTTTATACCTAACGAATAAACTTGTCTAAAGGAGATACAAAGGGTCAAAGCAATTTTTAAATTATTATATATGTAGGATATGTGTGCGTATGTACGCGCGCGCGCTTTGTATTTTGTACTTTTGTATTTTGATTGACAGTAAGATGTTGCATTTAATCAACAACGCCACATAGTTGTTATTCAGGGAAATTAAACATTTGATAACATGTTTTATTAAGTAATAAATGATTACAAAACGAATGCAATGCACTGTGTACGTTTTGCTCCTTCTGCATATTCCGCTTTTGCGTAGCAAAGAAGTTGTGCTGAGACATCTATACGCGATTTCTCAATACCTTTTTTACTAATTCGGTTGCTTGTAAAAACTATAAATAACCGATATATGAAATGGTTTATATTGCAAATATTTTATAGCATAAAAAACAAGGTCTACAATTATACTTATATACTATTTCGTTATTCACACTAAACGCCAATAATTAGTTGGGAATACAATGATGCATCAGACAGCTTAAAAGCTCATGAAAATTTATTAGCACTCATCTCTTTCAATTCTGCAAAAAAAATAATCGCGCGCATCATCAGCGTGATTTTATAAAAAAAAATCATCAATTTTTCCAGATAGTTCAAGTCGGATATTCCACCGTGTAATATATAATTGCCAAAGTGACCGGTATTTTTCTAAGCAAGCGTGTGTTCTAAAATATATCTTCCAGGGAGGTCACGTGACTGATGACTATCGGGAAACCCCCCAAAAAAACTAGGATCTCACAATGCACTTGGCAAAGTACATCTGTTTATCCGCTGATCACAGAGATTACGCAATTAACGTACCGAGTTTGTAGTTTGCTATAAAAGTGCTCTGTGCAAACAGACGAGCTCATAGTGTCGTTCGTTGCTTCAACTCGAGTGTTGTTGTTTCACTTGAACTTATCGATTAAAGACCAGCATGGCGTGGTCTATCATTGCGACGACCGTCGCGCTTTTCACCGCTGGTGTTATGTGCCTGCCGATGGATGTACCTGCCACGGGTGAGTGAATTAACGTCTTTGTACGAACACTCTCGGTTATTGACAAAGAGTACACAGATACTGTCACGCCGTCTCTCCGCTCATTCCATTTTTCTAACAGAGATATGACAACGCTAATTGTTAGCGTGTCAACATATTTTTCCATTTACGAAAGTGCAAACGATAATTTTAACATCGATTCAAAGCTTCAAAATTGGATATTGTAAACGTATATGCTATCATGCTAGCAGATAACAAAAGAAATTTGATAATTCTAAGCTTTTTAAATTACGTATCGAATTGAATATAAATCGTTTATTTTGGTAGATTATTTCCAAACTAAAATTTATAATTATATGCTTATTATATTACTTATATAATGTTACTATTTTATGTTTTTCACTTATCTGTTATCTATTGTAACTAGATATTTTGAAAATCAGAAAAATTGTTTTGTCATATGATAATAATGAATTGATCTATCATTAATAAAATTTGCTATTCTGCTATTTTATTATTTATTTATTTACCAAAGTATATATACATTAATTACGTAGTTCCAATAAACATACATACATTACATAATTAACAAATTGTATAATCCAGCAGAGGAAATAGTATTCCTGTTTGCCGGTCTGGACATAATGAAACTTAATAAAATAAAAAGTAATAAAATAAATAATATATTTGTATAGTCCATTTGTACATTGATAATCAAAGATTATCAAATCAAGCAAGCTGTTATAATTCTAGTTTATGTATTTAACAATATTGCACACTTATCACCAAATTCGAATGAGCATTGCTCTGGCTGTAGTTCTACTGCTGAAAGTTGCTTTTCTGTCACTTGTGTAACAGATTTTTTCTATGTGACTAAGTGACAGAATTGTTCTATGTGACTAAAAATCTTACTTTTAATTAAATTAATTTAAACAAAAATACCATTTGTTTCAATTCATTTTTACATTTAAATAATCACTTTTCCAATTAGATTTGTTACCGCCGAAAATGCTAAGAGAACCAGCAACTGATTTGTTGCCAGCGGAAAAGGAGAACGGACCAGTAGCTAAGTGGATGCCCACTGATAATGGACCGACAACTGATTTAATGCCATCTCCATTGCCGGAAGGAATGAATGAAAAGAAGCTTCCAGCAATGTTGTTTGTGATCAACGTTTTTGCAGTAAAGAACAGCACCGCCGAGGATTCAAATGACGTGTTGCACAGTGACGTTATCGAGGAAGTGCCAAGTGAGGTCGCAGGTGTGAATTTTTAATTACATCTAATCCTGTTTATTTGTCCAAGGAAATACGATACATCGCTAATTATAAGCTTTCTATCGCACAAAACAATAATGAAATTCGTATCAAATTGTTTAAAAATTAATCATAATCAGAAATTGCAAAATTGAATAAATATTCTTACTTTACAGTACCGTTGGCATTATTCCTCTTAGTTCTCGAAGATGAAAATGAAAATCACCCCGTCAGTTTGGACGATGTTGCCAGAGATCTCGAAAAGGAAGGTTTTGCCGTCGAAAAGATTGTTAAAAATGGCGAGACTGGTCTTGTTAAAGTGGACCTTGACACATTCGAATCGACAGTACGAATCCCTCAAGGAAATAACAACGTGATCGAACATGAAACCGATATCAAGGATTCTGGCAAACTCACAAGTGTACGTAGGAAGAGGCATATCTGCCTTCATTGCAAACTCGACGAGCTCAAACAGAAGATTCACAATAAACATAGTGGAGGTTGCAATACTTGTGGTGGTGGTGGCGGCGGTGGTTATTATGGTAAGAAACTTTCTTTTGTGTTAGATTTTACATCTCTTTAAGAGAATCGTGTTATCCGCAAAAATATTTTCTTCTATTTTTAATTTTTCGTACACATTAATTTAAATAAATACATGAAAGAAAAATTCATATATTAGTATTAAAACAATTATTAAAATAGGAATACCCGAAATTCACTATCTCAATTCTTTTGTGTGTCTCACTAAGTATCGGTACAAAATTATATCGGTTTAAGTTGACCTCAGTAATATGATTTCAGCTCAACCAGTATACCAACCAGTTCAACCAGTATACCAACCAGTAGTCCATCAACCAGTCTACCAACCACCACCTCAACAAAATTATTACCCACAACAAGGTTGTAGTACCTGCAACGGTGGAGGAGGGTAAGTTAACATTAGTTTTCGTTTATTTATAATTAGTTTATTCTGACGTAAATACTAAGTCATTTTTATATGTAGATACGGAAACGGTGGTGGTAATGCTTACGCACAAGCGTCTGCGCAAGCTTCCGCTTCATCGTCATCTGGAGGTTACGGTTACGGACGTTAAAACGAAGATACTTTTTTAAATTTGTTGACTATTAAAACATTGTGAGAATAGAATTTTTGTAAATTATAATTTTCAACTAATAATATTATTTAAAGTGCAAATTCGATAGAGTAGTTTCTATTACATTTCAAAAATGCAATTATTTTACATGCAACGATTATAATGTAAATATGTCAAAACTGATATTATTCGTATTGCAAAGTGATACGTGAAAGAGTGTTTGTTGTACATCTAAATTTTTATTCTACTTCGTAATGAAATAAAATTTTTATAGTATAAAAAGTCACTGCTTTCAAATTATTTTTTATGAAATCGACATCAGGATGAAGTAAAATTACTGTTTTATCTCTCTTAAATATTGCTAAATATTATTTAATATATTTTTCTTAACTTTTAATAACCAAATATGCTTTAGTTTGGCGTGATTTTTCGCTTATACATATTTTTGGATGATAAAAAAATTAATAAAGCCCTTTTCAAAATTTTTCATCGATTGAAACTAAACATTCGCGTACAAGTGTGCTCTTATTATCCATTTAAATTCAGAATTGAAATAAATTTTACAATTAAAATCATTTTGTAGTTTATGTGCATAAATGTAAATAAATTAGAATTTTTTCAATGATGTATAAATAATAATTTTTTTTTATAGATACCGTTTTATACATTTATTTTATTAGGTTTCCCGGATACAATCAAGAATACCATAAAACTGATAAGCTCACATAGACCGTCTCATAGTTTGTCTTGATATCAAAAGAATTTGAGTGTACTCATAAATTCAGCGTTTCTCTGAAAATATAACGAATATGCTTTGGCTTATTAATATAACGTAAATTGTTATAGTTTTTATCGTTATTTTCATGTACTTATAATTGCATATGTAACAGTATTCACTGTAGTTCAGTAAGCCAATGATTCCAAAATTCATTCATTTGGTTTTTCTAATATATGAAATATACAAACTGTTTTGAATACGAGATATTTTGGTATTAGAGGAAAAAATTGGACAAAGAACAATAACCGAACTGATACCTCTGAAATTAATAGTAAACTGTTGAATTACTGCCTGATTCGATGCCACTCCCCCGCCATAGAAAAAATTTAATAAGAATACAATCCAATTATGTCGCTTGTATTCAACGTTATTATAGTCATAAACAAATGGGCTGCAGATTTGTATATCTTACAAGATAGTGTGATTAAGGCATTAAGTGATTAAATTATAAGTGTTACCTTTTTATTTATCTTACATCCAATAAAACTTCGTCATTATGCTGATACGCAGAAAAATAAATTTTAACATTTAAATATATGAAATTTCCTATATTATAAGAATAATACTCTAATTTAGTTAATAAATTGTCCTAGTTATAAGTTAGTTTTTATTCTTTCACTCTGTTCGATTTATACATGTGTGTGTGTGTGTCTGTGTGTGTGTGTGATAAATGCTTCTAACATAATTGGTGACTAAAAGTGAATATGATAATTATTCAATATATGTTGAAAAAATGTCGTAGGATCTTACAAAAAAAATGGTTTTGCTGTTTGGAAAGTTTTCGACAAGTTTTCGGAGCCAATTAAAACAAGTATATGAAATCTTAAAAAAAATTGTTATTTTTTAAGCGGTTTCGTAATTAGTTTATCAAGATTCAGGAGTAAGAAAAACACAAATATTCGTAAAAAGAAGGTTTGATTCGAATACATGTTGAAAATCAAGCAAAATATCATTCAAGTGAAACTATGTAAATATAGATACGGGGGTACATACATTGCATGTAGTCATAGATGATTAATATGACTCACGAATTATGAGTTACCTACAGAAAATTTCAATCGTAACAATAACCGTCAATGTACTCATGAATAATATTACGCGAACTAATTTAAATACTTTAAATTTGTGATGAATTCGCCACGACTTTCAAATAACATTATGGAATTTACAGAAGTACTTGATTTTAACGAATCATATCTTTCCGGATTAATTTTTCTTTTTCCACTTTTAATATTTACTTTTATTTATCTAATGGATCCATTATCTACTTTATGTTAGAATATAATTTTACAAAATAACTCAATGCTCCACTCTTTTGAACTTCAATTTGTTCTACTAATAATTTAATGTTTTTTGATTAATTGATGAAAGTATAAATAAATATACAAAAAGAATTTAAAGTACTAACACACTATTGACTAGACAATGCCAACCGCACATAAGTTTATCGCACACGCGCGCAGATCGCAGAGATTACGCAATTAGCGTACTGAGTGTGTACACTATAAAAGCGGTAAGTTTGAACTGCTGAGCTCGCAGTTTGTTGGTTGCCGGTATATCGAAACGACTAAAGTGCCACGTTTATTTTATTAATTATTTGCTAGTTGAGAGCAGCATGTCGTGGTCCACCGTTGTGACAATCGTCACAGTTTTCGTCGCTAGTGTTACGTGTCTGCCCATGGACATTGAAGCACCTGCTACAGGTGAGTCAACCAACGTCTTTGTTATCTTCTCTTTGTTTGAATTTTCTTATGTAGACGTCAATCATATGACAATATGACCTAGTACTATTTTTAGTTATATTAATTTTGAATAAAATATGATTATTTACAATAACAATTTTATGGACTACTGTTAATTTGAACAGCTTAGAATAATTTTATACCACAATGTCAAAAGTTCAAATATGGTACAATTACAATAGACTAACTGAAATTTGATACAACTTCAATATCATGCTTTTGTATCTAATATTATGATACGAATGAATTTTTAATATAATAATTTGTAATAATGTTTTAAGCGGATTTGAATAATTTTAAAATTATTATAGCAAAAAATAAAATATTTTCAAAGTAATTATAACGTATATTAATGCTTTGTAATCGTGAAAAAACTTTCATTTTATTAAAAATAATCCCGAAGATTCTGACTTAACCATATTACGTAGTAAATTAGTATCAGTAATGAATTCTGACGAGGGAGCCTGCGTTAACGTGTTTTGCATGTCAATTACTATCGAACGCACAACGTCAATGATCAAAATAATTTATCATTTAAAGTTAAACGATTGCCTTAGATAACATAGAGCAGTTTTGATTTGTTATCTGATTTTGCAATAAATCTGAAATTCAGTGAAATTTCTAAATAACAATTTTGTTTAAATTCCTACTTATTTGCATTTTTACACGCATTTCAATTGCAAAGCTCTAGAATAGATGCACTTCTTATCAGTAACATTACCATTCTACAATTCCGTGTATACGTATAACAAAAAGAGTACTATTTCAATTATTGCAATTGTGTGTATTGTAAATAAAATATTTTACAAAGTTCCATACATAAATTAGTTTCAATCACATCGACTAGTTTGTATTTTTTAATTAATATAGTTTTCCGATACATTTAATTCTATCACCTCTAAATACCAATAAATGTTAATAGATCTGCTGCCTCCGAAAATTGGCAACGAACCAACAATTGCAACTGATTTGCTGCCACCTGTAGATGAATATGGACCATTATCCATAACCGAACTGATGACTTCAGAAATAGACAGTGGACCAACACTAGCTACTGATTTGGTGCCACCCCCGTTACCCGAAGACATAAATGAAAAAAAAGTACCAGCTATGTTATTTATAATCAATCTTATTGCAGTGAAGAATAAAACTGCCGAGGACTCGAATGACGTGTTGCAGAATGATTTTATCGATGAAGTCCCTGATGAGGTTGCAGGTAACTTTTTTTATTATTTTTTACGTTGTCGTTGCATTCAACAGGCCGTAATTATCTTTAATTACTAGCTTAAATTGTATGTTCGTGCAGGAAAAAAGCATGTTTAATTATCAGCTATCGATATATTATTAATAATTAGGTTATAGTCATTTGGAAACGAATATTTAATGTATTTATATATTTATATAATTATACGGAGATATATATAAATAAAAAAATATGAATGCTTCTTACTTTTTATTTTCACATCGACAATTTAGAAATTAAATTATTAATTTTTTTAAATAATCTTAATTAATACAATTGTTAATTTTCATTAAAAAATGTTATACTAATTATTGTTTTTCTTTATTTTAGTACCTTTGGCATTATTCCTATTGGTTGTTGACGATGAAGATGAAAATTCACCTGTAAGTCTGGACGAAGTTGCAAAAGATCTTGAAGAAGAAGGTTTCACTGTAGAGAAAGTTGTCAACAACGGTGAGACGAGACTTGTCAAAGTAGATATTGATTCGGTTGAGACGACAGTAAGAATTCCTAACAAAAATAACAATTTTAATAACTTTCTCGAAGAAGAAAACAAAAATCATATTTCACTTAAAAAATCTGATAAAATTATGAGTGTTCGTAGAAAGAGAAATATTCACCTGTACAGTAAACTGGATGAGCTTAAGAAAAGGATTCGCAGTGCCAATCATGCTATACATTAGTATGAAAATTACCATTTATTGATACATAATAATTATAAATGACTAATGTATAAGTTAAAATAAATAAAAATATTTTACGTATGGGCAATTTTCACAAACTTCGGATTTTATTATAAATAAAACATGTCTAAATTTTTAATATACATTCCTTTGGCTGTTAGAATATATAAAATCCAACGTAGTGCAACATTTGAAAGCAACACACTAAACGTTATTAACTTTTTTTAATGATTTCCAACTTATTTTCGGAGAATAAGTTATGAAACCATGTTATCAATAATAAATAAATAAAAAAAACAAATAAAATCAAATTACAAAAAAATATTTATTGTACGTGAAGGTTATAGACGAAATCCACTAAACTGTGTACTTTGTAGACACCGCAAATCGAAAATTTTCTTTTTAATCTAGCACTTCCGAACAAACTTTTTCTTATTCTGTATGTTACACAATGATAAAAAGTGTCGGGGAAAATTTGAAAAATTAGCTGCGACTTTATTTTCCATTTAACAATAATTGAATAATAAAACCATAATTCTAATAAATTAAGTCCAATCATCAATTTTGAAAGTAAAGAAATATTTTGTTAAATAAAATTTTGTTAAATATTTAACAAAATAATATTTTGTAAAATAAAATATATTGAAAATAAAGAAGTATTTGTTAAATAAAAAATTTGTCTCGACTGTACATCGATTTCATCGTATGTGCGTTCGGCAAGTTATTAATGCAAGACTTTATCGATTTATTCGTTCAAAATGTATTTTAACTGAAATTGCACGTGTAATAAATATAAACATATTTTTTTGAATTTTCATTTTCTTTTTTCACTCTGTAAATTTTTAAATAGTGATGTAAAAAATGGGGGAGTGATTTTTAGCTTAATAGTGTTGTAAAAATGGAGCACAAATGTATTTAGTCAAAATTTTTAAAGACAAATGATGTGCTAATAAAAAAATATGCGTTTTTGCTAATGTGCACGTTTTTCCAGCTTAAGTATACATTCCATGTTTACTCCCTAATTATGGGAGCACATAATTTCGCCATGTGGGTTGGGTTATTCTTGGCTATTTCGCACTTTCATGTGTACAACAATTGTGCGAAATTAAAAATTAATCCGTAACCTAAGGGTTATAAGTCAATCGAAATAGCCAAGAATAACCCATGTATAGATTTGTTGCTTTTGGAACATTATCTATGTGGTTTTATAATGATTTTGTTTACTCACCAATAGCAATGCCGCATAATAGTAATAGACATTAAAAATGCAAAAAAGTAGTCATGCCACTTTCGTGCCTTATAATTTTTTCCCTGTTAAGAGCACATATTTCTAAACATATTCTAACCAAATTCTGCAGAAAAAATAAGAAAGTTACGCATCGTTTTCTGCAAAATTTTCTATTTAATTTATGTTTCATATATATTTTTGTCTTCAAAATGTATACTATATTATTTTTTTTGTGTTTATGTGTTGCAAACAATGTGTTAATCTAGTTCTTGGATAATAAACAAGCAAGAATATCGTATTAGCACAAAAAATATAGCGACACACAAAAATCTGAACTAATTGACGATTGCCCATGTACAAGTTTACATAAGTATTCTTTTTCAAAAGTTCGTTAAAATGCATTATGAGTTCTATATTATAGTATCTTTAAATATCCATATATATTTTGTAAATTTTTTACGATCAGATACGATATGTTGCAATTTAATTTATATTAAGTTGAGTATAAAATAAAATTATATAAGATAAAACGTATTTCTACTTTTTTTAATCAGTTTCATGATTTAAACGATTACTATAACGTTATTTTCATCATAACTCTTTTGATTTTTATCTTCTAAATAATATCTATCATATCACACTTATCGTCAAAATTGATTAGAATTGTCTTATTTTTACTATTTTGAATCAGTTATTGAGTATTGTTCAATGTGAGAACATCTAAAACTGATATTTTAATGCTTTAGTTTTGACAATTTACTTTTAGTCACATTATTTCTATCGATCTTGAAAACATTTATTAAATTATATTGATATTTAAGAACATCTGATATTTTTCAATATAACTTAAATATTATTGTGGCACAAGAAAATGAAACATTGGTGAAGTTCACAAAGGAAAAGTATGCTTTAAACAAGTATGATACGACTATATTCAAAAATCAATTAAAGAATACAACGATGTTTCAGTTGGTAAAAATAGTCTGCGTCAAAAGATCTCTGCAAAAATGGCAATAAATGCAAAACATAAGATTAAGTACATATAGGTGGGCATAAAGAATAAAAAATTATTAAAAGGTAGTAATATTAATAAATATTTGAAATTTCTATCTCTAATATTTGTAAGAAGAATATTAAATTTATTCAATTAATATAAATATTTTTTTTGTTCAACTCAGATGTCTAACCATGAAATAAAGAAAAACAGTCTAAGAAAATGTAAGACGAACACACAATAAACTTTAAATATAAATGCCACTTTTCATTCGGTTGATTAAAAAATCAACACTATAATTATACGGACACTACGGAGTTTACTTTCAGTAATTACTTGCAAGATATGTATTTCCGGCTAATACAAGTATTGTGAAATATCCAGTTATTGAAAATAAAAATCCTTTAATAAATCAAAGTAAAGAACAATCGATTAAATCTGGCTGTCAAGCAAATTCTGACGAAGAAGTCAATAAAAATATTGACAATTAATGCAGTAAGTTGAGACAATTTATTCTTAAATTAATGAAAGAATTGTACGTCGACGACAGAGGATATATTTTATATCGCATGGAGAATGTAAAGCCATGTAAAAAGTTGATATTTGTTACATCGGATCATCGATTTACTTAAGGCGAGAAGTATGTAATGATTTTTTTAAAGAAGAATTTAGTTATGATAAAATCCAAGGAATGATGGACACTTAATAACAATTTTTAACTGTTATTACGACAAATAATTGATTCTATCTTTATATATATATCAATGCCGTGACATAATTAAACGAATTGAAAAAATTATTTTCAATTAAAAATGTATAATACATTGCTATATTACTCTCGGCAAGATATAATTTATTTATAAAACTTTATTAAATTTTGACCATTATTATGACCTGTGATTATATTATTTTTTTATAAAAAATTAAATCAACACAGTTGAGTAATAAAAAACTGCTTTAAAATAATTAAAAATAATAAATACCGTATCTTTTCTTTTAAATTAGTTACGTAATTTCAGACAGCATTGTTAATTTTTCATAAAATTTATAACTAAAAATAATGAATTCTTAATCAGGAATGTTCAACTAAACTGTCCTCGTGCGAAACGATTTTTTCTAAAATTACGTTTACCTTTCTATTCCAATAGCGACATAATTTCACAGCCGACTACGTAGCAATTAATGTCAAGTTAAACCATTATCGTTGCAAGTCGCGAAACCAAGAGTGAAAATAGCGCGTGCGTACTGGTTAGCAGGTCGCTTGACAAGGAAAAGTCAGCTGGTCAGACTTTCGCACGACGGAAGAGGATGTAAGATTTGAAAGGGGAGCATCAGAAAACGTTAAAATCCGAAGGCCGCAGACGAGAGCATCTTTAATCTTCTTGGCAAGGTTATCTGTTTCTTTCTCTCAGGCCAGAGCTACCGTTATCGACCTTTTGCCTTTTTTACACCTCAGGCCAGCATTTCTCTCCTTTTCGAGTTTTTTTCGCATTACCAGCGTCTAGACCGACTATTCTATTATAGGATATGGTCGATCTGTCGATGCTTGCGAGCCTCGCTAGAGTCTCTCAAATATTATATTGTCGGCAAAGTAACTAAAAAAATATACATTGATCGATTTCCTATTATAGAAATAATCAGGTTTTCGAAACGAATTTCACTTTTATCCTAATTTACAAGCTATATAATCATATTAAAGCCCAAAGTGTTAAAACGAAGAGCGCGGCCGGTAGACTAAGTGGACAGTTATTTACGAGCTGTTTCTAATAATCATACATCACTCCTAATCCATAAACCGACAGTGTTCTAGTAACAAAGTAGCTGAATTTATTATGACATCTTTCAGTTGGATTAAAAATTCACGTAATAGCGAGCTTCAAGACATTATAATTGTTTTTACATAAATCTTTTAGTTCTGATATCAAATTGAAAAACTATCCATAAAAAGCCCAAATAGGTATCCCTTAAAATACTTGGTAAAAATCATAACACTATTTATTTACGATAACGGATATACAAAATTGAATTAACTGATTTAATAAGTGCATCACTTCAAATTAAGATCGAATAATTAATGCGGTTTTTAACCTTATTTAATTTTATAGATCAACTTTTTCTTCGAAACTTTTACTATCTTTTTTACGGTCTTTACGAGACGCCAGACAAATAACGACATTGAATCTTCACGCGTATTAAAAAAATGTAAGCTAATTCTAAATAAAAGTAGTTCAAATTTAATCAGTACAAACATTAAAAAAGCAATCAAATCGTCTTATTAAATCATTCGATTCTTTTGGCATTTTTTCACACTTTACAAAATTAATAAGATCAGTGTCATTCGTGATGGGCGATAAAATATTAATACTAGTTTTATTGGTTTTATCTCCAATCCCGTGAGATTCAACGAAAAAAAAATCTTTCACGCAAAATCAGCAATGTAACGCATCACGTAAATGTCAATCTAATAAAATATTGATAATAAACGAGCAGAGGAAAAAAAGATTACACATGTACGAAACTTCCACGTACATTTAAAACGTTCGTTTCACGCTCTTGTGAACGTACAAACAATAAGTCGTAATGTCGTTGGTACATTAGAGGCGTGTAATAAAAATCGGCATAATATAGCAATTATCATCCTCGTCAAGTGCATTATGAATCATCGGATGCGTCGCGGATGAGATAATTGAAAACCGTGAAGCTCGTAACAACATAACCGTAAACTTATTCGCAAGACCGCAATGGAAGAAGAAAAAAAGAAATTAAGAATTTAGTGTATGACACCCAATTCTTCCGTAAACACGGTTACAACGTCAATTGGGTGCCTGACACACAATTTCCTCTTTGCTCGATATCGAATTGCCGATCGCTGACCCTGAGAATAAAATTTATCCAATAAAACTACGTGAATGATCAGGAAATACATTCACGTTCGGAGACACAAGACCGCATTGTGGTCTATGCTAGTATGTCGCTGCATCTAAACGGTCTATCACGAAAATTGCGACCCCATTACTTTGTCACTGATTCGAGCTATACACACTATTAATCACATGACGTGTGTTATGCTTTTCACTGTATTATTCTCAAAATAACTGCTGATATTCAATTTTTTTTCTTTTAAATTAAATAGTAATTATTGAAGGTAAACAGTTGACATGGATTCAGTTGAACTGTTATTTGTGGATAAAATACAATAAGCTTTTAGTTCATAACGGATAACATTTCCATATTTTGAATGCTGCTAAAATGTAAAAACCGCAGGCGCTATTGCGGTCTGTTATTATTTTTTTTAGTTCTCCAATCATTGTTCATAGAAATAAATATAATTTTAAATAGTCCCACATTCCAGACACGTAGTCCATTAAATTTATTGTTTGATAATATTCCTAAAAACGCAGATAAAACATAACACAAATGAACAAAACAAATAAATGCTTCGGTAAACTTTCTTTTCCATTCCACGATTAAATCTGGCATAGTGGTCGCCAATCGAGCACAACATATTCGTCAATCGACAAAGATGTTAAAAATTAATTTGCACACGCATGGAGAACAATTATTTCGACGGGATAAGATCTTGAAAGAAAAAGAAAATATTATCCCCTTCTTATCTCGATAACGAGCAATAATTTGCACAAGGTACTGGATAGATGACAAAAGCCTTACATAAGAGAAAGAGTTAGCAAGATTGTGTATACAATGCAGTCTAGAAAACTGACTTACATTGGTATCATCTCTGTCTCTCCCGGGCAACAAATCACAGCCAATTAGGGAGCGAGCGGCGCAGAGCCATTACAAATAATCGCCGAAAAAATGTGTTTTACCCTTGGAGCTGGTTTTTTGGGTGAAATGAAACTCACTAACGGGTCGTTCGTTCGAGTGTGCGTTTGTATAGACAGACGGCGGGGACGAGTTAACTCTCTCTCTCTCTCTCTCTCTCTCTCTCTCTCTGTCTCTCCTGTGAAAGGCGAAAGAGAGAAAGAGGTAGACCCTCGAGTGGGAGTAGGTATAAAGCTGATAGTCTGCCGGTCCAGTCGATCAGTTTCAGTCCAGAGATCTAACCACCTGGCGGCGCCAATATGCTCATCATTAACAAAATCCGCGCCGCTGCCGCTGCACTACTTGTCTTTGTCGTTGTCGTCGCTCATCCTGCCAGTGAGTGATGACCGATTCCACCGGTCTACTTTGTCGATCATTCGTGCGACGCGTCTCTTTTACTGTACCTCCTTAATTCGCTCTTTGAGTGTCGATATAATATGTGTGCTTTGACATGTGCTTCGGTGCTTGTGAAGTTTTACGGTAGCTTGATGTCATGCAAGTATTCGATGGTGAATTGAAAATGCAAGAATCAAAGTAGCTTTATTTCTAAAAATAAACTGGTTCTAAAAAATAAAGTGCTGGGAATTTGACAATCGAAGGTGAAATTGAACGCTATATTTATAGAGGGAGAGGGATCACTTAAAAATTGCTGATACCGAATTCTTGTTGCTTGTTGGCGAGTGACTAATGTCATTTGAATTATTCAAAATACTGTCTAAACAATAAACTCACTTACGCTTTTAAGGATTGAAATTCGAAAAATCAGAATTTCAATATATAAACTTTATTCAAACAGAAAGGATAACTAATGAACGTTCGTGTCTCTGTTGTTCAACAATTGCTTCATTTCCAAAGCGGATAGATAATAATTATATAAGAACAATTGAATTGTTCAATCATTGGCGGTTTACAGTGAATCATTTATAAATAAACAACAGATACGCGGAACGCACATAAAAGTAATTCTCTTGATATGAGCTGTAAATAATTACATTCGTCACTATTATACATTTATTGAATGGATCTATTAATTATTGCACAATCAATAAGATCATAGGATGACTTTGAAATACATGTATATGTTTAAGAATTTATAGAGAAAATGGTATATCCTTGAGAAAACCATTTAAAAAAATTATTTGATTAACAATAGGAAGATCGAATAAGATTTTATTTAAAAGCGAATTAACTCATCGCGCGGTGATTAGACCGAGTCAAAGATGTCAGTGAAGAATCAATTGGAAAGTCACGGACGCAGGCACAGTAGTGAGAAGAATCGTTACAGCGCACATATAGTCAAGCTCGAAAAAGAAAACGTGTTACTAAGCGACCTCAAAAACGTGGAAATTAAATGAACCGGAGCTTTCTCTACAAGGCAGCGAACTTTACGAAACGAATTGCAGTGTCGCGCTGATTGAAATTTCAAAATTGCACTTCGCCGTTTATTGCATTGATTAATTAGCACCTTAATTTTGCTCAGATGCGCGACCTTATCAATACATACCGGAAGTGCCTGGTTGGATACCCGTATACATAAGGCAAGGCGACCAACCTCTGTCGGAAATTCACCCGGATTTAGCAGCAGCTTTTCACGAGGTACAATTATATACCGATCACAATATCAACATTATCATTAATGCGTTTTCTCTACTTTTAAGGATATCCAACCAATCCGACTAGACGACTCGGCGACTAGAAATCTCCTAGTCGACGGAAATGAAATTTCGGCAGAATCGAAATCAGCAAAGGATAAGAGTCAGTCGATCGATGCCAATTCCGAGGAGAAGAATGACTTTCCGCAGAAGACGGAGGCTTTCGATGATAATGATGATTCCGTTGTGATGAAGGTAACGTGCAATTGTATTCAGCCAACACCCTACATGACGTTATATATCTGTCACATAAATGTTCTTTTTATAACTTTCGCGCAGATAGCCAAGCCATCGGCGCTTGATAAGGCTGAACTGAAGCGATTTGCCAAGGAACTCAAGGTTCATAAGAAGAATGAATAAATATTTTTTCTTTATTTCTAGTCAGTCCCTCTCTCTCTCTCTCTCTCTCTCTCTCTCTCTCTCTTAGGCATTGTTATATGCGTTCAAACCGATAGAACGCGTGTCGAATTGCTTGCCATAAGCTACACAAGTGATTGTAAAATTACGCATACATTACACATGTCAAACCAACACTTTATCTTAAAGAAAAATTTCTGTCTAGTTTCTTTTTAAATACATTTGTAAAGTTATCGGGGTCATGTAAGTGACATTTTTAGGCTTATGATCATTAAGAGATCACTTTACGTTGAATGTAAAAAAATGACAACAATGTTAAACATTAACTGTGTATGAATAGAGCACGATATTATATTTATTTTGTATAATTAAGATTATTTTATAAGTATTTTTTTATTCTACGACAAAACTTGTACGTATAATAGAATCAAATATACATTGTTTTTTTATAAGATTTCGCTTATTCAGTCGTAATTTAGTATATCATGATTAAACTCGAACATAGTTAGAAATAACAGAAATGCCCCAAGAAATAGTATATTCGCTAACTAGTGCAGGAAAGTAGATTATTGTCTCGTGTGGCGTTTACGCTCGAGCGAAATTCTTTCCCGAAGATGTGTCGTAGCATATTTATCTATACGACGTGTGGAATAGTTTACGATTACAATTACATTATTACAATACAAGTGCGGGAAAGTACGATTTTTAACGCTTGCTTTTCACCAAGCATGCCGGAAAGACGTACTTTGCGCACGAAGTGTCGAAATAGTACATTACGATACAAATGCGGGAAAGTAGATTAGTTTACGCCCGAGCGAAGCGAGGGTGGAAAGGTACACGAAACGAGAAACTCTTTCCCGAACATGTGCCGTACCGTATTTTTTGATACGATGTGTGGAAAGTGCGATTTTCAACGCACGGTTTTTGCCGAGCGTGCGGGAAAAACGCACTTTGCGCACGGAGTGTCGAAATTGTACTTTATTCGCTTGAAACACGATCATAATTATTCAACCGAATATTTAAAGGCAATAAGTGATTATAAGCATAACTTATTAACAGTAAAAAAATATTTCAATTACCAGCACTATTTCTTATTTCACGTATAAATTATTTATTTGAATTTGTTTACTATCGTCACATAAAATTTGATCTAGTAATATTGTTATGGGTTAATAATTTGTTGAAAAAAGAACAATTGCGTTGCTAAGCTGTTTATTACCTTCTGTTTAGTTTTTATTTATCCGATTTTTCTAGTCAACCATATTGATAGCTTGTTTCTAATTACATAGAGTGTTAAGTTATTTTGAGTTTCGCTAATAAAGTCTCATACTGATTTCTTTTATGATAATTAGCTTGTCGTTTATTAATGAATGTATGAGTGTTATATTTCTAGGGCTCGTCTGGACTGTACAGTATAACACTTATACACTCATACAATAAATGATAATACTAATTATTATAAAAGAAATTTTTTATTTTTTCAACAAATGATCAACGAATAACAATTTTTCAACAAATGGCCAACACATAACAATATAAGTAATAGTAGATTACGTACTAGACCAGTACAGTATTGCGGAGGTACGCAGAGGCCAAATTTAGCATATTACCGACCGAGCCAAGGCCGGAAACATAATAATGCTGCTTTCGGGTCACTGGGCAAAAAAATCTTGTAATATTTTCATCCTATAATATACATTTATAAAATCATCATTTGCAATAGTTATTTCGAAAAAGAACTAAATCGAATTCAAATTTGTTATCATGCTACGTTATCATATTTTTTTTATAGTGGTTTTATTGACAGAACTTTTACAGTGTAGGTCATATCTTAAATTATTGAAGACGAACTAAAAGTGATTTTTCATAGTTAAAGTTATATCTAAAATTTTCTGCTAGATAGGAGGTTGTTTAATATTGCTTATTCCAATATTGAAAATGTTATTTTGATTTGACTGGAGCTTCAAATTCTTGGAAAATCATTTTCTTTGTTTCGGCGAATAGGATGTTGTCAAAAGCCATTAGGACGTTGATTCTTTGATATTTTTGATAGGTGTGACAGACAGGATTGATACTCTTATGGTTTCCATTGTAGTTCGCACAAGGAGTCCTCTTAGGGTATGTGTCCTCTTCGGAGTCAGTGTCGTGTTCCTCAAGTCCACACATGATACATTTCTCTTACAAGCTTGGTTGTATGTCCGAATCTAAAGCAATTGAAACACTGCATGGGCCTTCGTACGTAAGGTTCCACGCTTGATTTAATGTGAAAGACTGATATCTCAGTGGGTAAAATTTGACCTAACAAGGTGACAAGGATAGTCTGAGTAGGTATAGCCATCTATTATCCTCTTCTATAGCGTTTTTATTTCTTCTGCTTTGCCTTTTAATTTCAAGTACATCTATTAAAGAAACTATTGTATTTTCAATCTCTTCGTCACCTAAGTCTAGTCAGATTCTTCCGATTCAATCTTTCCTCACCTTTCTAAAACTAGTAATAAAAAATTCCATGTTATGATTTGACAACGTTTCATCTTTTAAAAATGAGTTAGCATCTTCTCTTTTGCTAAATAAAATTTCGACTTTGAATTTGCCTTTATTCTTAATATCGATGACATTTCTATACTTTTAAAAATATACCTGGTCGGAAGACCCCGGATCCCATCTGGGATCCCATCCAGGGATTTGATAGAAATTCCCAAGTGGGATTCCATATGGGAACCCACATGGGACTCCGATAAATTAAGAATGTATCCGAACTTCCTCATGGTATCCAACATAGAATTTCCAAAAATTTAATCCGCTAGTGAAATCCCACTTTAAATCCCGCGTGGTTTCCAAAACAAAATTGTTTTTTTAAATTCTTACAATTTACGTAGAAGAGGAAGAAAGATTTTTTCGTGAACGTAATATTTATTTATAAGAATATTTAAAGAAGTAACAATACATTACATAATCTCATTCAAATTCCATAAAAATGATATGACTTATTTAAAACTTTGTTATGTAACCGCTGCAAAAAAGTATTCAAATACCGATCTTATATATATATATATATATATATATATATATATATATATATATAACTATAAGTAATATATATAAACCGTATTATAGAGCAATAATGGTCCACCACACTCTCTACTATTTTTATTTTATCTTAACCTTCGCGCATCTTGAATAGTGTACCCAATCTCTCTTTTGTATAATTTTTTCCAAGAAGTTGCTAACTTTCCTGTTGCATCTATTGCATTGCAACGTTTCAGTAAGAGAACTGCAATGTCAAAAACGTCAATACAATGTCAATACACGAAATTCTTTTTCGTCCATTTTTTTACAACCACTCGATTTCTTTGATTGAAACGAATGTAAAACGCAAAGTAATTGGCCGATCTGGCTGAAACTTGGTGTGTGCTCTGCCAAGATATGCCATTAACTAAAAATAACATTGATACGCACTAGTAGCGCCATCTCTCTGACTTTGCACGGACTTTTCAAACGACCCTCGTATGTATACCTAGCAACAATTATCGTGTTCACATATGATCAATTCTACAAAAAAGTTCCGCAATTCGGTACCGTATTCGCGTAATTTAAAATTAAAGACACGCACGTATGGTATTTTCTCACTCTATATGTGACTTGAGGAGTCTAGAAATATACGTGTGCCATGCCGGAAATTCTCGGCGCACCCTATTTTTTCCGGCATTGCACGCAAATATTTCTGAACTCTTAAAATTAACTTGTGCGTGAAGTATGTGATCGTCGCACGGGCGAAGTTTGTCGCCCGAGCGAAGCGAGTTACGTAATGTACTAATAAATGCAAAGTAAAAGATTCTACGGAAACAGCATCTGATGGGTATCTGGCAATTAATTGATTCGGTACATTCACTACAGTACCATAATCTATTAACAAAACATCAGTTGTAGCTGAACAGACATCAACAACAGTTCCTCTACAAACCCACTTTGGTAAATCTATATTTGAATACCCCACTGATAGAACTACATGCTAAAATGAAAATTGAATGATGTCAATGATTATTTGTGTCTCAGTAAAAGTTTGTATAAAATTATTGATTTATATAGTTAATCTTAGGTAAGTACGTCAAGGTTATCTTCTTTTTGGAAAAAGATTTTGATTTCTTCTCTAATAAATGATTTAATATTTTTTTCTTCCGAGCATCTTCTACTGCATCAAGAACTCATAAAATACAGACTCAAGATGTAACTCCAACACTGGGAGATCATTGAAATGTAAACACATAATCTAATCCTCCATCATAGACATTTAATATATATTTACAAATTACTACTTGCAGACTGAGTTTCCATGAAGCAAACAAAGCTTTACTGTTGTTCACTTCTGCAGTTATCACATTAGGAGTGCCTTTTTGTACTTATCCTTGATGAACGTCTCTTACAGAACACTTTTTGTCATGAAAGTCTTATTTAATATAAATATAGATCTATCTTGATAATGAACTAATGTCTTACCTGATTAATTGTAATAAATTCCTTCAAATATATACTGATCTTAGAAAACAGTAAGCATCAGTTTTTATCATTTTTATTTCAGTCTACCTGTAAAATAAAATTCTAAACAAAGTATCTGATCAACCAGCTGATGTGATTAAATAAAATTGAATAAAAAAGTATACATATCTGATTGTAAAAGTGGTTATATTTACTAAACCAACTACAGCTTTTCCATTTTCCAATGATTTAATAAATAATCTTACTACTTTCGACTGCACTTTGATAATTTAAAAAATTGTTCACAATTTATTGAAGCTTCAAGCAAAGTATTCAGTGCGTAGCGAATGCTCGGCTTGAAAATGTAAACACTAAGGAGGACGTAGAAGCGTGGAACTAAATCAAACGACGGTCACGGGTACAAAGAAAATCTAAAAACGCCACGACTATCCTTTTATAAGTTTGCCTTTGCGAGAGAATGATTAGATTCTGAGCACTGATAGGTTGGACAACCTTTAAAATCTTATGCTTGAATCAATATCCCCCTATATATCTCCATTGCACAGGTTAGAAAGTTATATTTGTTTTTAATTCTATATTGATTCTAATTGTTTAATTGAAACTCCTGTTGGGAAGCAAAATTTATTACTGCTAGGTGAACAAAATTAATCGACTTTGACCAATTAATATTGCACTAAATAATAAAAAAATTAACAATGAAATTTTAATTTGTTAATAACTCTTTATAAACAATTTATACAAAAGAAACAACAAATGTTTTAGAGGGAACATTTTAAAAGCAATTGTTTCAGTTATCACATGTTTTTTATATTGTAATACAAAAATAACTAGATGGAAGCATCAGGAATGTAAAATGTGTGTTTGTGTTATTGCACAGTGTATATAGTACTTTGACAGCACCGTACTGTCTGGTAAGCATGTAAATAATCATTGGAAATAATCAATGTAAATAATCATTTGGAAGAAGAAACCTTTTCCAAAACTAAAGCAGTGCTGTAGCAAAAATTGAAAACCGGTAAGGAAATTCGCTGTTTCTCAACTTCATTTTTTTTTGTGAATTATAGATTACGATGGTAATACGTATTATTCTCGTGCAAGTAGCGAAGCTTTTTTCAATCGGTTTACAGAATTCGATTTTACGAAAGTGATAAATCTATATTGAAAAATGGCTGGTCAGCAACATCAATTTCCTACTGGCTTTCCAAACACCCAACAAAATACCATGCGAAATCAATTTGGTGGAGGACAAATGGTTTCTGGTCTTATGGGACCCCAGCAAGGTAAGTAAATATTTATTTTAATACAATAAGAAAAAAAAGAAATAAGAAATGTTATAATTCTATTTGTTTTGATGATGACAGTAAAGCGTCCTATATAAATTTGCATTTATAAAAAATGATAGTTGAAATTTGAAGCAATTATAATTAATGCCTATCCAATGCATATAAAAGTTAGATGATTTTATATGTAATCTTTCATGAACCACTGCATGTGTATATATGAATCTGACTAAGTGGTTCTATTAATGTATAGTAACTTGCGCATTGTCAATTTAAATGTAATTAGATGGATTGAAATTAACATTATGATGTTAGTTAACATAAAGCTGAACATCAGTTGAATAATTATATTATAAAATACTGACAAGCCTACAACTGTACCCATAATTATTTTAAAATATAAATTATTATTCATAGTAATATGTAATATGGCATGAATCAGTGTAAATATTCCTATGAACAATAGTTCACGTGTAATCGTGATTCAAAATAATCATCATGATTCAAATATTATATTGTTACTGTGTTGACATGACTCTTGATGGTTTAGATATTGCCTTCAAGTATAGGTCCAACCATGATATATGTAAAAATTCTGCTTCCACACCCTTTTAAAAGTTGTAGGGAGGTTATTTGCATGTTTTTTATGACTATATAAGAGAATTAAGATAAATGTGTACAGATACTTATTGTATCCCTCCAGCATACAAAATAAATGTTGTTCTTGAAGTAACAATAACAAATAACAATAAGCTGGTTATACAGTAAAAAAATTTCATATATTAATTTAAACAATATCAATTAAACTTTTATTAATAAAAAATTCTCATTGTTATAAGTATTTTAATCTTCTCTTTAGGTATGGTAAATCCTCAACAGTTTGGAGGTGGTGTAGGACCAGGTGTCAATCCAAATGTTTTGGGAATGTTGAATCCTCAACAGATGATGGCTCAGCAACAACCAATGCAGCAACAGCTGCAACAACATCAGCAACAAATGCAACAACACTTACAACAGCAGCAACAACAGGCTGCTATGGTTCCAGAGGGTAGTCAATCCGGAGTTACTCCAACGACATCACAAATGCCTGTTGCTCAAGCTCAGCCGCAACAGCAACGTCCACAAAGTAAAGATTTAAATACTGCTACTCTTTGCAAAATGGGACAAGAATCTGTACAGGAGATTGTTAATAGAATGCAAGAACTTTTTCAAGTTATGAAAGTTATTCAACCTCCTAATGGTGAATACTTCTTTTTATTTTCTTTTGTTTCATAATCAGTTTTTAATATGATTTCAGCATCTTACATTTAAGATATACTTAATATTCTTGAAATATTATTTACAGGTACTCCTCATGGGCAAACTGTGTCACATGATAGAAAAGTGAAAGTACAAGACCAACTTAAAGCTATTAATATGCTTTTCAAACGCTTGCGAATGATATATGAAAAATGCAATGAAAATTGTCAACTGCAAGGCATGGAATATACACATATTGAAAGCTTGATACCTATAAAAGAAGAGTGGGATTCTAAATCAGATGAAAAGAAGGCTACTGAAGCTTACAGACTTGCTTGTGAAGAACACAAGGAAGCAATGGAAGTATGTATAAATTGAATTTATTATAATTAAATGATAACAAATGTTATATAACAAACTTATTAGAAAGTTTAGTATTCAATAAATTAAGCTTTCTTCATAGATATAAATTATTATATGTCATAACATGTATTTTATAAACTATATTTTTTTCAGCAACTTGTGCTAAAAAATAGACATCTTAAACAAATCATTGATCACCTAAGACGCTTGGTCTCAGAAATTAATACAATGATGAGCATGCGTAGATCTTAAGTAGACTAAGTGTATATAAGACTTATTTTAACCATATCCGTATTGTGTAGCATTTTTTACGAAAATTGTGTAAATGATATTATTTGACTAAAATACTAACTAAAATGCTAACTTATTTTAAACATTGTCCAGTTCTATTACTATCACATCATTAGTTCTGAGTATTGCTTCTGGTATTACTCCTAGGGGCGTGGTCAAATTTCTAACATACAATTCCAAAAAATCCACATCACAACCACGAAATTCAGCATTCACACTTGTATTTTCATATAAATGAAATTTCGCTGGTTTACCTGAAAATAATTATTTAATTAATAATATTAACTAAAAATTAATTAAACGTAAATACAAAATAAAATATGATTATTAATTAAAATTACATAAACATGTGGTTCTTATAATTCCCTTATAAATTTTAATAAATTTTATAAAAAAACAATAGCTTACCAATGATACCGGTAATAACCCTTAAAAATCTTTCACGTAGAAAGGCTCGAGCATTTTGTTTTTCAGGTGATGCAAAGTCGTTCGTAGAATTTGTAGCTTCTGTAGTGTTTTTATCCGATTTCTTTTCATCTGCATCAGCTGGATTTATACTTGACATTTTTAAAATACACTGCAAATTATTGTTAAAAAAGATGTATGAAAACAAAACAAACAATGACAACAGTACAGTTGCAGTTCGCAAAGTAAACAAGTGTCCACGTGGGCGCCACTTCTTTAATGTGGTGGTTCTCAGAACTCACGAAAGGCGCCAAATATAAATAAAATGAGTCACTGAAATGTCGAAATACCAAACGAGACTAAATTTCGAGTTGCGAAAAAAATGCTACCGTTAAAGCTTGCATTCCAAAATTTGCATCTTAGTCATATTATAACTTTCGCGAAAATGCTATTATTAGTTTTGTAGAATGAAATAATCTTTTAATAACTAATTTTTTACTGTTTAAAACAAACATTTTGAAAAATGATTTAAACGAAATAAACTCATTAGACGCGCGACAATGCCTGATGAATTTGTTAATAAGACTATATGAATTTTACAGCGTATAACTTTCACCAGCTATTATTATAATCGCTAAATGTTATTTAATGGAATATACTATTATTCCATTGGTTCTAGTTTATCATAAAACCAGAGCACTTGGGATATTACTATATGAACTAGTTTGAGAACATAACGTAAACTCATATACAGTAAAAAAAAGAAAAATCTAAGAAATTTATCTATGTGAAAATGAATATTTTATCAACAGCTCACACTTTCTACAGTCTTATGGTGAATGATGAGGGCAGATCAGGCCCGCATATTCCACCATAGCCTAAAGTGTTCCGCATTTGCTTTAGTTATTCAGCACACCTGGAAGCGTAAAAATGTCTACGGTAAAGTTTTGGATGAACTTATTTCTCAGCGTGATTTTTATTTCGCATACAGTGGGTAAGTATTTTTTTTTATTTTGAATAGCAAATAATTCCATTTTTTAGTAGAATTTTTCATAATATTTTTTAATAGTGACAAATGTTGACTGCGCACCAGTAAAAAAGAAGCCTCTTAATATTACTCACAAAATGACTCCAAATACAAATAATGTTTTATCAAAATCACCGTGGCCAAAAAAACAGCCAAACAGGCGTGACCCACGATTTTTAGGAAAGTTTTCATTTGTGGCTGGTTTGAATCTTCCGAACCCACCAACAATGACGCCAATCCATCGAAACGACATGTCAACCAAGGAACATGTACCGACACAATACGTGACCACCTATAACTTTCCTCCATTAAGTTGGGGTCCATTCGCTGCTGCTGTTTATGAGCCTCCACCTATCCTGTCATTTTTCGGAAATCCCCTTGGTTACTTGACTGCCTTTCTCAATCCTTACAACTGGTTCAACAACAGCTTTGCTATTACCGATATTCCAACCACTTTTACTACTACTGTGCCTGATAAAAATCAAGACGAAGTGTTTTTCATTATGAATGATTCGGATAATGAAATACTTAATGAAGAGCGCATGAATAAAATTGAATCAAAGATGAGCCATCAAGAAATCGGGAAAAAAAAGGTAATTCTAATTTAAAAAATAAAGATTAATATTTTTTTTCTACGTTATTGTGCAGCATTTGAGTAAATTATGAAATAAGTAAAAGAAGCACAATTTGTATTCAAATTTTAACGTAAAAAAATGAAGAGAAAACATAATTCAAGTCATGTTATTTTGCGAAATTACATAAATTTAAAAAAAATATGTCATTGATGCGATTAGTTGTCGAATAAATTACAGTTGTTTGGTAAAGTGAAATTTTTCCAAAAATCTATGAGAGTTAAACTTTTATTTCATTGATTTTTCCGGTTTTCAAATTATATAAAAAAGTATAATAAAATATATGAGAGTCTTATCAAAAAAGGATACGCAAATAGCGGTTAACACTTTTTCTCTATTCTGAATATACGTGCTTAAAACAGAAAAATTCTGTATTGATTTCATTACAGTATGTCACAAAGCACATTCCCTTTAAAGTATCAACAACTAAACAATATATAACACTTTACGATGAAGAAAGTGCAACCGACTTAATTGCTGAAGAAACAACGGTACAACCGATCGAAAAGGTTCGCATATCTAACAACTATGAAGAGGATAGTCGGCAACTATTTGGTAAAAGAACCACCCAGAAGACAGAATCTTCTACTAGATATACAGAGCCTTCTACTAGATATACAGAGCATCGCACTAGATTTACGGAGCCCCACACTAAGCTTACGGAGCCTCATAGTAGAGCTACTAAAGAAGAAAAGGAGACGAATATACCCAAAAATGTTACATTACCTACTCAAAGGCCGAATACCACAAGGAGATCAAATAGCACAATAGAAGTCACGACATCTACGAAAAATATAACGAGTCAAACGCCGTACCCATCAAATAACGCCACGTATCCAATAAACAATCCTGGTTATTACTACGGTGGTTATCCACAAAATGTGTCGTATATCGAATTAACAACGTTACAAACGCCGCAAATTGATCAACCAATTCAAAGTTTTAATAATGTTAATAACTATGTACGACCCTATCAACCCAGCTATAACAATTTGGACGAGCCACTAAATAAGCAAACTTTTGATTTTTCTGAACGTTCAGAGCAATTACCTCCGTTGCCTATTAATTATTATGATAAAAGTTCAAATTTCATTTTCAATAATATGGAAGATAATAAGTTACATGGTTTCAAGCCAAGTTTTCCTTTACTTTTCTAAAAAACTTTATGGAGAAATTATATGCTGCAAGAAATTATTTATTATAATTAATGTGTTATGAATAAATTTTAAATAGTTTTGTCAAAAACTTTTCACTCATTATATCGCTGCAACAGTTTGATTATATCAAAATAAATAATAATAATAATAATATACATACATACATGTTTGTTCTAATTTGAACAAATAATTACCAAAATCAAAGTCATTCCAATTATTATTTTTTTAAATGCTTTGATTTTTCATTTCTCATGTAAGTAAGCGAATTTGTCAAATTTAAACTTGATTTTATAAGAATACTTTCTATAAACTTTCTAGAATAATCAAGGTATAGAGAAAGCCACGTATCCTGAAACACTGAAGATACTGAAGATCATAAACCATTATCACTAGGTGAATATACTTTTATTGCAGTAATATTAGCAAGTTTCTCTAATAATAATCATAATAATCAAGAACTTCAAATATAAATGCATCACTTATTATTTTATCAATACTATTTGACTTTAATTTATGGCCAACAATCAATCAATTTCCTTTAAAATACAAAAACATTTTTAAAACGGTTTCCAAACATCAGATATGTCCACTCATTTTTAACGTTTCCAAAGTAAGTTGACGTTTATAAAATGCTTTCAAAATGTTTTAAAAACATTTGTTCAATAAACATTTTTTATTGAATAAATGTTTTAGAAACTTCCAAACGTTGGTAAAACGTTTGTAAAATAATTTAAAAACAAGATTTGTACTCTGGATATTACGAGCCAAATAAAATAATGCAATGAAAATGTATTACGATTTGCCTACAAGTTGTTAGTCTGCGATATTCGAAGACAAGATTTCAAAAAGAGCGTTTCGTCCAAACACATTAGAATCCTCAATAAGGATATGACGGTCTAATATTGTCTCTTGAAACGTTACAGACTCGCAAGTACGAGTAACGCATAATGAATTTTCATTAGGTTATTTGACTAGCTTGCAGTAAAGAGAAGAAAAGTGAAAATTAGGCCTCTAGCGCTCGATAACTTATGATAACTCAATCAGAGTGACTGGAATCGATTGTCTAGGATTATTTTACTATTTTATAAGACGAAAACAAGAAATTACTTTTGTTGTTTGGATCAATTGAGTAGAAACCATTTTCCTATTCTTTATACGTAGTTTAATAGTCAGAAAATAAGTAAAACAGATGTCAGATGATAACTGGGTTATAACGATCAGAGTCAGTTGAAATAGTATACTTCTGAGGTCCCCCGTTTGGAAATAATACTTCTGTGTCATATTTCATGTCGAAAATATTTTGCGAGAGCAATGAAAAAATATGTGATTTCTCTAACTATAATTCAAATTTACTAACTCTTTTTTTCACTGCAGATAATTTATAACATACAATAAAACTTTCGTTAGACCCCATAAGCAGTCCAATTCATATAATGAAAATGGTTACTTATCTGGAAGAATCACAAGTTCTTTAGCGGTAATTATTGCAATTATTTGCCCAAATTAATCAAAATTATTATTTTCGCTCAGCATGGATGTTAGTGCAACGGCTGTAGTTAGAGGGCTTATAATTCTTTGAAAGTTTTCTCAGATGTATTTCTTTCAAATGAAATATACCTTTTTCATTTCACAGAGAAATAATACGATCGTTGAATTTTATTCGAATTTGCAATGGTTTGATAAAACTGACAGGTTTACGAATACTAAGTATAATAATATTGTAAATAATATGAATTATCTAAGTTGTTTCGGTTAATTAAGTCAAGTATTCGATAATAATACAAATACATAATGAACTCAATACTAAAAATTCTCGAATAATGTTCCGTTAATCGTGTTTTATCGCTGTTCTTCTACAAGCTCAAATAATCAGCATACCATTCGTTCACAAACTTTTCCAAGAAATTTTACCAACAATGATTTGTTAAAGTTATTAATCTTTTCAATTTTTATAATGAAAAACAAAATAAAATGCGATTTTGATGTATTAAGGCATAACAAAACTTGGTCAACTGATCAGAAAGACGGAGTATCGGTAATCGTAGAATCGATGTGTGTCGTAGTTAAACTACCCATCCCACAAGTGCAAATGTCTTGTTTCTCGTGTACTTCCTGTGCAGTCGTTTCTATACTTTTGATGTAGTTAAAATATCTATGCCATTAATTACCTGCAAATAAAAGCCAAGCTCATTAACGAATAGTACGGTATTTAAGTACAGACTAAATTGCAAAGTTTGAATAAGTTAATTTCTATAATAATCTTCGTAACTATAAAAAAAGATATATCGATACAAAATAATGTTCAACACTACCAAATTTTCCATGCAATATACATTCGATTCTAACTGAGAATAATAAAAAACATCAGTCGACCCATGTACGTAAACTGTTTGTACAATTGTCAGGACAAATGA